GAACTATAAGGCTGGTTGGTATCACAATTGCTATATAGCTTCTGCTAGACAAAATTATAAAACCTGCCTTAAGAGAGCCTCTTAATTTCTGCTGTCTTCTTGATTTTGTGTCTCCCTGTAAGCTACCTGAAATTCTTTTGAGAACAAGGCTAAGCAGTAAACGCACACATGTGAGCCTGTGCCCAAGCTCCGGTCATGTCCACTGGCAGCCTCGCACCCCAGATCCAAACCAAAACAAGGCAGCAGACCACTGTGAAACAGGCATTGATGGCAGCTAGCTAAATATTAACAAAGGAGGAAACTGATTTTTTTCTTTTTTTCCTCTGAAATCAGTGAGAGCAAATTAAGGGAAAGTTAACTTTGAATGTCCAAATAGAAAGAAGCTACTGATCATTAGACTCCTTCATTCTCTAAATTTGCTGAAGTTAATGGTAAAACAAAAAAGAAATTGTAGATATTCTACCTCCTTTTACTCCTAGTCTCTTGGGGAATGAGGGACTGAGACCCCCTTTATTCCACTTTGCAAGATTGTTTTTGACATCCTAGATAGAAGAATATTTGTTCTATTTAAAAAAAAGACAATAAACCTCAGAGCACAAAAATTCAATATCTTAGTAACTCTAGTTTATTCCTCATCTGGAAATTCTTGTATCTGATTTCTTTCTGCATCAATTTATTTTTCTTAACTCAATTTTTATTGAGTATAATATAGTAAAACACATAAAGTTAAGTGTCTTATATTTTTTACAAATATATATACACACACATATATTTATACATATATATGTACACACACACACACACACACACACACACACACACACACACTCTCTCTCTCTCTCTCTCTCTCTCTCTCATGTGACCACTACCCAGCCTCTTGGAAGCCTCTCTCTTGGACCTTCTCAGTCAACACCGAACTATCAAGGATAATTGTCACCCTAATTTCCATCAACATAGATTAGTATTGCCTGCCTGTGAACTATATAAAAATGAAATCCCACAGTACTGTATTGTATCTGGCTTCTTTCATGCAGCATTTTATGAGTGAACTTCACCTACATTGTTAGGTATAGTAGTAGTTTATTTTTCAGTGTTATATAGTATTCTGTTGTATGAATTTGGCTTATATGTATCCATTCTATTGTTGATGGATATTTAGATTATTTTCATTTGGGAGAGATTATAAATACAATTACTACAACATTGGTTGTCATGCCTTTGGGTGAATATTTGTCCTGGTTTCTGTTAGGTGAGAGCAGGTCATAAAGTGTGAAATATTCTGCTTTAGTAGATACTACTAAAGATTCTTCCAAAATGACAGTAATAATTCACACTCTTTTCAGTAGCAGTTGACTGTTAGAATCATTACTCATTCTCAACAACAGTTGGCATTATCAGTTTAAAATTTTTCAGCCATTCTATTGGCTATGTTAAGGTTTCTCATTGTAGTTTTAATTTGCATTTCCCTGAAGGCTAATGACGTTAAACACCTTTTCAGGAGGTGTTTTATTGGCACTTCTTTTATGAAGTGCCTGTTCCAAGTCTTTGCCCAGTTTTTTCTTACTGATTTAAAGGAGTTATTCTGGGTAAATCCTTTGCCAGGTATATTTATTGATATATCTTCTCCCACTTTGTAACTTGCCTTTTAACTCTTTTAATGGTTACTTTTAATGAAGGGAGGTTTTTAATTTTAATGAAGTCAAATTTATTTTTTCTTTTATGTTCTCTTTACAAAACCCTTTGGCCAGGCACAGTGGCTCATGCCTGTAATCCCAGCACTTTGGAAGGCCAAGGCGGGCGGATAACCTGAGGTCAGGAGTTTGAGACCAGCTTGGCCAACGTGGTGAAACCCCATCTCTACTAAAAATACAAAAATTAGCTGGGTGTGGTGGCATGCACCTGTAATCTCAGCTGCTTGGGAGGCTGAGGCAGGAGAATCGCTTGAACCTGAGAGGTGGAGGTAGCAGTGAGCCAAGATCATGCTACTACACACCAGCCTGGGCAAGAGAGTGAGACTCTGTCTCAAAAAAAAAATCTTTGCCTACCCTAATGTCTTGAAGATACTGTCCTATATTTTCTCTAGAAGCTTTATTGTCTTACTTTTCACATTTATGTCTGGGATCTCTCTGGAATAGAATTGTTTATATGGCATTGAGGCTGGGGGATAACGTTCTCCTTCCTCTTACTACCATATATGAAGACTGCCCTTCCCACTCTTCTTTATGGGTACTTTTGTCATATGGTCGGATGGCTGTCATCTCAGTGCCTGTTTCTGGACAATTTATTCTGTTTTATTTCACAGTTTGTGACAATTTGATCAGGTATAATTTATAAGTGGCTTTATAAGTAAGTGTTGATACTCAGTCCTCTAACTTTGATCTTCAGAATTGTCCTTGCTCTTCTTTGTCGTTTTCATTTCTATTGTAAATTTCAGAATCAGCTTGCCAATTTCTATACACATACACAAACCTTTTAGGGTTTTTTTTTTTTTTTTTGTGGGGGGAGGATTACTTTAATTCTCTAGAACAATTTTAGGAGAATTAACATCTTTCTCTACCAGTGCAAGCAGATTTCTTCATGTTAGCGGATGTAAAGGCCCCACTTCTCACATTTGGGCTGAATGAATTTTCGGGGTTCTAGGGTGGGACATGGATTCCCCCTTTATTTGAATTCCAAATGGAAGTTGGGTTGTGCATCTGTAGCTGCTCCTCTGGATCTTTTCTGTACCGTCTCTGCCCTGCTCTGTGCCTTAGGAGGGTGACTGGTTTGGACTCCTGCTATGGCTTCCTTTTCCTCTGGCTTCTAGTTATGTTCAACCAGTGGGGAAGGAACACAGGCAGGCGATCAGGAGGAGAGAAGGTCCTGAGGTCCAGGTATTTATTTCCTGGCGTCCTCCCTGCCAGATCATATTGGGTTGGCTATGCCCCTACCACTGCTGTTACAATTCATACCTCCCAGGCAATCTTTTCCTTCTACCCTTTTCTGTCTGGGTCCCCTTCAGCCTAAGGGTAATAACGGCTTCCCCATCACTAATGTGGGTACCACATTATCTCTCGTTATTTCCTAACACCTTTCCATACTTTGTTAAGCACTCTCCAAATCATGCAGTTTGAGCAGGTCATCTGTTTCCTACCAGGACCATAATTGCTACAGAAGTGGGGATTTTCTAGGCAATTTAAAAAAGTACTTTGAGAATGAGGACCAGTTCAAACAATGGTGATAACCTTGCTGAATCTGCTCACAAAATGTGCCTCTGGCTAAACCTGCCTGAGTACAGCATAAAGGTTGCAGTTTTCTCTTTCTGGTATCATGTGAAATTATCAAGGGACTCTTTATGATTTAAAAAGTAAGATTAGTAGCCTTGTAGTGTGCCCTTAAGTATCCATAAGCACTTTAGCCATGAGTTATTTTTCACTTTTTGTCTTACTAAGTTGATAATAGATGCTTAGGGTGTTTGTGCTTGAGTCTGAGAAACATCCACAGCACTGCCTGAGGGTGTTAGGAGGAGAGGTGAGAGTGTCAAACTCAACAGACTTTAAAGTAGTAATAAAATTGCTGCTATTGGAAAAATTAGACTCAAAGCACTTCTAGGGACAGCAGCCTCAAGCTACAGTGAACAAGGGAGAATTATCCTAATTCTTAAATGGAGTCTTACATTGAATTTGTTTAACTCTTCTTTTGACAGTTGGGTTATTTAGTTGTCTGTTTTAGGAATGAATTTTTGGAATGACATCTGTAGCGCTGGTGAGGACTGCTAAATTTCTTGCACTGAAATAGAAATCATGTCATTTGCTGACAACGGTAATTAACCTGAATCACAAATCAGATTGTGCTGGCAAATATGATGGTGTAAGAATTGTTTGAAGTTCAAAATGAAAAAGTCAATAGCAAATAAAACAGGATATCACATATTTCTTAATGAAGAACTTTACCTTCTTAAAAAGTGAGCCTAAGTGGAGTTTCTTTTTTAATTGGATGAGGCTGCTTAGGTGTTTGTTTCCGCACATGCCGAGGAGGGTTGTGCCTTTGGTTTTTGGTATTGCCTGGTGCAGCTGCTGGTTGGCGCGTTTGGGTTACTCTCCAGCTACCATCCCTGTGGCATCACCACCCCCCAGGCCATGTGCCTGAGGAGATCGCATCATCTCCTATACTGGAAGTGGCAAGATGGTGGCCATTAGGCATGTTTGTTTATCCCACGCATTATTTTTATCAATAGTTTAAAACTGAGAGACATAAATAAATAAAAAAAAAAAAAGTTTCTGACTTTCTAGGAAAATCTGAATACTGTGGGACCTCCTCACCACATGGTGATTGATGATGGGCTGTGATGGGGGGGGGGCGTTTACTCAGCAGGGAGCCATGGTGTCACCTGTCCAGTCTCACTCGGCTGTGGGACCCACCTGACCTATGAGGCATGTGTTGATATGTTAAATACATCAGGGGTGGTTCTGGGTACCAGAGGTGAGGAAGGGAAATAATTGATTCTGTTATTTCTGTCTGTGTATCATTGGTATAAGAAACTCCAAGCTCCAAGAGGCCAGAGACCTTGTCCATCTGTCATGGTATACCCGAAATTCATAAATATTAATTGAACTGAAAAAACCATCAACTGAGGAAGGTCAATCTGGTGATGGCATGCAGGGGGCCTAAAGGAGGATACTGAACATTTGGAAAAGGCTATAAACATAAGGAGGGCTGAGAACATAGACTGAGACAGTGGCAGAGGAAAAAGAGACAGAAGAAACCCTGAGACAATTCAAATCAACCTCCATTAGATTTAGAGACGAGTGGGATATGAAGGAGAAAAGAAAAGGCTGAACTTGGAGCCTCAAGGGGTAGTGGTACCATTAGACCAGTTAGGAGGATGGTTGGTGAAAGTCACAGGATCCCTTCTGCTTCCCTATTTCCAGTCTTTTGATATGAGGAATCTAAGGCTTAATCATATTGATTTAGCTAATGCTAATAATCAGCTGAATTGTTCCTTATGTTTTTAATCCCAGAGCTAAGACCATCAAGAATACAGTCTCTGTGAACCTAGAACTGACAGCAGAAGAATGGAAGAAGAAATATGAAAAAGAGAAAGAAAAAAACAAGACTTTGAAGAATGTTATCCAGCATCTGGAGATGGAGCTAAACAGGTGGAGGAATGGTAAGGAGAAGTGGAGAGGAAGAGTGAGGCATGAGGGTGTGAGTTTTTCCTTTTTTAAAGACAGAGTCTCACTCTGTCACCCAAGCTGGAGTGCAGTGGCATGACCTCAGCTCACTGCAACCTCTGCCTTCCAGGTTCAAGCCATTCTCCTGTCTCAGCCTCAGTGCTTGGGATTACAGGCATGTACCACCATACCCAGCCAATTTTTGTATTTTTTTTCTTTTAAGTAGAGACAGGGTTTTATTATGTTGGGTAGGCTGGTCTTGAACTCCTGACCTCAAGTGATCCATCCACCTCAGCCTCCCAAAGTGTTGGGATTACAGGCATGAGCCACTGTGCCTGGCCGAGCATGTGCCTTCTTTTTCTTGTGACTGTTGGCGTCCTGGGAGACACTTGGGAAAGTTGGGACAATGTACAGCTTGGTTCCTCCTGCCAACAACCTGTGTGAACAGGCAGATGCTCTTAGTCCCTAACACAGGCACCATCCCCATCCCATCATTTGGCTAGCATGCATTGTTAGTGTGGACCAGTGACTATCTGCAAGGTTGCCTTAATCTGCTTCCAATGAGATGCCCTCTATCTATTATTGTAATAACTCTCTGGTACCCCTATTTGTAGGTTAGAGGAAAGTGCCTGAGATTTGGTGGCTCAGATTGCTTTTGACTTAAATGAAAAATGTCATTCTCTCCTATGTGATTTTTATCACTGATTTGTTGTTAAAAGTCTACCTCTGGAAAATACCTGCATTTTTTGGCCGAACTCATCTTCATGCTCTGCTTCTTCAGAGCCAGAAATATAGGGCTCTCGGAGGAGCCCTGTGCTAAAATGGAGTCTTAAAGGCTTGGTTCGTGACTCGTTTTCCTTCTTCCCCAAAACATTCTCTTTGGTTTGTTCTACTGGGAGAAAATATCTCAGAGAGCTGACATGCAGTGGGTGGGTGGGTTGTGGGTGAGGTGTTAAGAGGGGTTTCCAGATCTTAGTGCAGACAGATTATTTTAGTGATTTTAGCATTGTGACGTAGGTTAGAAGGTAGAAGGCTCTTTTTTTTTCTTTTTAACTAAAATAAGGCAGGTTGGTGTGTGTGTAGGGGAATGACGGATAGTTGGAAGCTGTTCTTCAGGTCCTCTGCTGCTGTGCTCAGTATTTTAGGCTCTGCAGCAGGACCTAAAGGGTAGGGGTAGGAGCTTGGGGGTTGTTGTGCAGGACCGGGAGGTAACGCTGACTGTTTGTAACTGCAGCAGATTGTCTTGTGGTTACATGTTTGCCACTGCTTTTTGCTAGTAAGGGTAGGGTGTCAATGAGCTATTGTTTAATAGAAAAACGATTACGTGGCAAACAAGAATTCAAGACAGGTTCCAAAAATGACCTAGTAGCCTAAATAACATGATTCTTTTCTTTTGAAAGATTTTCTAGCTGCACACGTGTTTGGAAAGCTGCTAGAATAATTGAATAATTCATCACCTGGGGCTGGCGGATGATTCCTTACAATTTGGCAGGAGTGGGAGAGAAGGGAGCAGTAGCTGGCAAGGTGGGGAGCGGCTATATGAAGTTTTATTTCTGGAATCCTCTAGGTCAGTTCTCTGTTGGGTGACCAGGACATTCAGTAAAGCCTTTTGGTAAAGGATTGGCAGGGGCCGGCTTTAGAAACATTACAGGGTGGGCAAATAACCTTTTCTGTCTCCCATCCTTTTCCATCTCTTGCCAAACTTTAACCTTGCAGTTCTTCATCCCTCATCGAATGCTGTTCTCTGGGATCTGCCCATTGCCCTGTTTGCCTCACTAACTGGCATGCCTGGCATCTTTTGGGCACTCAGTCCTCTTCTTGACCTCTTTACTTGGGCATCATTTTAACTGTTTGTCCCTCTTTGAACACCTTGGAAGTCTTCTTAGAAATGTACTGTTTTCTGTGCTCTTTTGGGTGAGATCCTACATGAACCCTTAAGTTACGTAATTTGGGAAAACTAATGGATGATAATGTACTCTAGCACAGAGTAGACCTCCAATAAATGTATGTGGAACAAACATATGCTTAATGCAGGTGCTGGAGATTAAAGGGTGGGCAGTCAGATGTGGTGTCTGCCCTTCAGGATGGTCTGAGCGGGGAGGGAGGTAAATGCCAGTCCTCACCAATAAGTGTATAATGATAGACCACACTGCATACCCGAAGGGGAAGCACAAGTGCCAAAAATTGTACAACAGAGGGCCCTGACCTTGACTGAGAAGCCAGTGAGGGTTCCTTGAATATGCAACACAGAGATGAGTATCTGAGAGAAGCAGCGGTTAGCCGGGCAAAATAGGAGGCATGGTGTGGGGGCTCCGAGAGTGGAGGACACAGGCCAGCTGGGAGCACTGGCCTGATATGGGCTGGAGGAATGGGCGGGGCTCTCCCATGTAGGTCTACACAGTCCTTGTTCAGGATTTTGGTCAAGGGTGTTAAGCTGGTCATACATTTGCATTTTTGAAGATCCATCGGCTGCATTAGAGCGTGGACTGCAAGTCAGAGAGGAGAACTGGGAGCGGGGGGGTGGGGGTTGAGGATCTTCCAGGGATGAGATTATAGTATTGAAGTAAGAGACAGGGCAGTAGGAAGGGAGAGAAATGGATGAACCTGAGAGGAATTAAGGAGGAGAAATTAGCTGGATGTGGTGAGGAGTTGGCTATGCGAGAGGGAGGTTTCAGTGACAGCTGTGAGTTTTCTGCTTGCCGAGTTGGATGGAGGGTGAGACCATTCCTTAAGAATGGGGATGCTGGAGGAGAACCAGACTGGGGGTGAGGGAGGAGGGAGTTTGGGGGTCCCTGTGGAACATCCAGGGAAACATTATTCAGATAAGAAATTAGGACTGAGAGTCTGGAACTCAGAGGATTTGCTTGAGTTGGAGTCATCGATCTTTAGGTAATAATTGAAGGCACAGGTAGGCATGAGGGCCCTTTGGACTACAAAGAAGAGAAGACGGAGTCTGAGAGGCTCCCAGGACCTCAACTGCCGCGTCACCACTGGTTGTGATGGGAGAAGGAGTTTGGAGGGATTCTGCACAGCTCTTCTTTCCTCCCCAGCTAACATTTGTCTTTCAAGGTGAGGAGGAGAAATTACCTGGGAGTGGTAAGGAGGTGGCTATGGGAGAGGGAGGTTTCAATGACAGCTGTGTGTTTCTTCGCTTGCTGAGTTGGATGGAAGTTGAGACCATTCCCTGAGACTGGGGATGCTGGAGGAGAATATCCTCCTGCATGGGAGATGGTGAAAATTGGTGAAATACTGCACTATTACCTGCCTAGAGGCTGGTCTCACCTGTACCAATTTTCAACCCTTTGTAGCTTGATGGGTGCTATAGATTGAATGTTTTGTGTCCACCCAAATTCATATGTTGAAATCTTAACCCCTAAGCTGATGGTAATAGGAGGTGGGGTCTTTGGGAGGTGATTGGGGCCTGAGGATGGACCCTCACAATGGGATTAGTGTCCTGTGGGTTCTGAGACAGCTTGCTTCTCTCTGCTCTCCACTATGTAAAACTAGAATGAGATACTATCTGCAAATCCAGAAGAGGGCCCTCCCTAGGAGGGCCCAACCATGCTGGCTCTCTGATCTTGAACTTCCAGCTTCCAGAACTATAAGAAATAAATTCCTGTCATTTATAAGCCACCCAGTCTATGGCACTTTCTTACAGCAGCTCCAGCTGACTAAGACGGGGTCCACTTCAGAATGTAGTTCTAGCAGTTTTCTTCTCTGGGCACTGTTGAAACTTGATTCTCAGAATAAGGCCTGTGACTCATAGCACATACACTACACTAAGCTTTAATTCCTTTGTGACATTGCCTTGAGGGCAGGATAACTCTGGGCATGTCCATGTGGCTATGGAGAGCCGTGCACTGGCCTGGTTCCATTCCCCAGGGTGCTAGTTAGGATCCTTGGTTTGCAAGAGACAGGAATGGACACTGCCTGGCTAAAGCAAAAAGAGAATGCATTAGAAGGATATGAATGATTAGCAGACTCCAAAGCATAGCAGAGGCACCAGGATCCAACAGGTGTAGGCTGGGGCTGCTCCAGGGATACAGGCAGCAGAAACAGGCAGGTCTCTTAAGTGGCCACACCTGGAATGAATGCTTTTTCCCTTTTCTGTGTGATTATGTTGGTGAAGCAGAGGCACAGGATAGAAGGGAGAATACTGTACTTAACTGGTGTGCCTTGGCTGGGGAGAGGTAGCGCACTTTGATAAATTGTCTGATGAAGACTGAACGTAGTTGAGGGGGCCAATTCCTTAAAAGGAAGTTGAAGCGCTATTTTATAAGAATGGGTGTCAAGTGGCTGAAAAGCAACAAATGTTCACCACAATCTACTAGTGACATCTTGTGGGCCGTAATCAATGGCTGGTCTTTCTTCGAATCTGGAGGCTCTGTTGGCTCTTTCGCCTCACGGAGATTTGTTCAGCCTGCTTGCTTAAGGAACAGATAGATGGAGTGGGGCAGTTGCCAGAAAATGGAATTTTTTTAAAAGCGCTATTGCTTTGTTGCTCATATGTGCGGAAAAGACTTGAACAATCCTATATATGGAGATAGCTTTAGATAGTTGGATTCAGAGTGAATTACGGCTCCAGCTCATGCTAACCTCCTCCCAATCCATCAAGAAAACTCTTGACAGGAGGATGGGGAGGGAGGGGTGAAGGCTGGGTGCACAGTTCCCTGTTGCTACCAGGTCAGTCTTCACACGTTCTCTCTTCTGATACTTAGAATTTTGCACTTAAAAAATAACTTTGTACAGGGATTTAAGTCAGAAAAAGGAGGACCTGAAAATCCAGGTGTCTGGAGAGCAGGGAAATGACCTGACAATCTGGTGTATCTGCAGATTCTTTTCTCTTGAATAATTGCCTATAAGATTGAAAAACAGTGGATGTAGGTTTACCTTATCTGCTAAAGCCATACAAAGAAATGATTTTATCACAGGCTGAGAAAGTGTGGAACAATCGGCAGTCTTTAAAGCAGATTTGTTCTCCCAGTTCAAAACCTGTGGGGCCAGCAGGCATGGCTCAGTAACTAGCTAAATCTGTAGCCCCCAGTCTGATTTGGGGCTTTGTGGAACTTGGGGACCGCCGCAGTTGGAACACAATTTGCTCTTTTAGCATTAAACCTTCGAAGATGCTGGCTCCCTTCGCTGGCTCCCTTCTCAAATTCATGATTATAATGGACTCTCAGAAATTAGCATTTCATTGGAGATATCTAATTTACCAGGCCCTCTGCTCACTTTTGAGAGCACAACCAAACTCTGTAATAGAAATACCGTCTGTCCGCCAAGAGAATGCTGTGGCCTGTTCAGGAGGTCATGAATGTAAGGAGGATGCAGAGTCCCAGGTGACCAGTTTATTAGAAAATCGCTCTAGAAGGGATTAGAGGATGTTTTAAGCTGCTTATAGTATTTTTAGGAATGAGGGTGAAAGATGCTATTTGCATGCAAAATAATCTCATAAGGGAATGAATTTTTTTTTTTTACACATCACATTTATATAATGACATCTTGTAGCCAGCTGCTGTCACCCATCTGGCAACTTAAAGATTTCCTTTTAGTTTCTTTGATATAGAAATTACCTACCATTAGGTCTGCCACTGGGCCTATTTAATTGGTATTAAAAGAAAGCACCTCGTTTGCCAGATTTGCTGTGGTTTCTGGCGGAAGCTGTGAGTGACCAGCAAATCTCTGCTCCAGAGTTACTGAGAGAATGCAATTACCTTTCTATGTTCTCCTGAGGCGTTAGGAACTCAACTTATGAAAAGGATAACTAGCTTGTTGCTATTTCATGTGTGAAATTTTAATGAATTACTGGCAGTCTAATGGTTTTCTTTCTTTAAAAAAAACCCCAAAAACCTATTTTAGAAATTTTAATAGCCCTAATGAGAATTTTTGATTAGTCTGTCATTCTCATCTATTGCAGTTGATGGATTTCTATTTTTTGTAGAAATGTTATTTATGCCCTCTGGGAGTTTTTATTTTATAATTAGAATGCTCTGTAAGCCTTATAGGTATGCTTCAGTGAATGCTTCTATGTAAACACAAATCTTTTTAGTCCTTAAAGGTAATTACATCTGACAATAGTAAATGCCAGGATGCTTATTTAAACAAGGGGAAGGTTTCCAGTGTGTGTGTATGTGGGGGGGGGGGGGGGGGGGGGAAGCCTTTCAGATGTTTTGCAATATTATGAGTTCTTTTTCTATAGACGGCAGGTATAAGCCTCAGGGGCTAGACTAAGAGAAATATGCTTTTAATGCAAGAGGGACACTAAAAATAGATGCTAACCTTCCTTTGGGGGTCTTTTTCTCCTTCTCCCACCATCAGCGTTCAGGGTGTTAGTTCTCCAGGTTCTGTCTGCAGCTGTCTTCCTTGTTACAATCAGTTATTCCGTAATCACCTCGTGGGGGCTTCTCTAGAGACTCGGTCCACTGCAGTGCTGGGAATATTCTCGATTAACGCGGTGAGATTGCCATGGAGACAGATAGCCTTGTGTCAGGTCTTACCTAGTGCTGGGAATTTACAATCCCCAGACGTGTTTGTGAGCTGGACAGTGCAGTTACCAGGGACAGTTCTGGAAGTCATTTTTTCGGTCCTTTGAAGGGCAGTGGTGGTGGAAAACCAGCTCTTGGTTCCTCCACGGGCAGGAGCTGTGCTGCTTTAGTTCCTGCGTGTTGCGGCTTTGTTCTTCTCCGTTGAAATGGCTGCTTTAAAAAATAATCCTGACTGCCTGACCTTTAGAATGTAAACTGGAAAGAGCTGGTTGTTTAGATGTAGCTTTGTAGGAGACATGTTAATGCTTTGAGAGAATTGTTCAAGGGAAACCACAAAATCTGCTATAGGTTTCAAATATTGTTTTAATAATAATAAAAATAAACCTGAAAGGGACTTGCCTGGCTATATACCATGTTTTATTTTTGGAAGTGAGCTCCAACCACAAAGTTATTATAAAGATCCTAGAAACACAAATTACAAAATAAGTAAAAACAATAATTTATCTGCCAAGCCTACAAAGTTGCAAATTTGTCAGGGAGAGAAAGGGATAAGAGATGGACTTTAAACAATATTGCCTTTTGTGCTTTTTACATATACTCTCTTCATCTTTAGAACAACCTTGTGATAAAGGCATTGTTATTTCCCCTCCTTTATAAAAAGCAAACCAAGAGGGTAAGCAAGAGATGAGCTTGTGATTAATAAGACCTGTTAAAAGATACAATGTGACTTTCGCATCCTGCCATAGCACTGGAGATGAGAGAGTCCCTTGAGTACTTTCACAGTGCCTTGTAGCAGCACTGGCTAGCTTGTTAGATCTCCGCAATCTGGGACAACCCTTCTACTTGGTGATGCTGTAATTCCTTAATGGGAGAAGAGGGAAGCTTTAGGAAAAGTCAGGCCTGTGACTTTTGTTTACAAGAGGTCACTATCTGCTAAGGTTATAGGAGTCTATTCCTGGCCCCTGCCCACCCAGCTGAATCAAAACACACACTGGGCAGCTCCTTAGCCCACCCTAACCCCATGGTACCATTGCCTCTTTGGCCATCTGAAACCAAAGAACATGGAATATGTCTCTTCCAGATGTTTTTGTACCTTGCCTCTACTTGGAGTGAGTTGGCCTGATAATATGACCATCTTCTGGTTGGTGTCTGGTCTAGTACACCTAAGAATTTCATCTTTGTTATGCTTAAGCTGGAAGATTAAATTCATACTGTACTGGATTGCCCTGTTCCCGAACTTCAGAGGCTAGCACATAAATTAGACATACAGTCGCAATCTAAGAAGAGGAAGGACATTTACCAAAGTGTTAGTGGTGAATTTCTCTGGGAAAGGAACAGAATTAGAAGGGAGGGGTAAAGGAGGACTTTCAAGTTACAGTTGCATACCCCACATGTTTGAGTTGTTTATGTTAAGAATGTATCCTGAATTATTTCTGTGGTTAGAAAATCTCTCTAATATGTTTAAAAAAAAAAAAAAAAAGGAACACGGTACTGCTTTTACAGCCTATGGATTTAGCAGACTGTAGAGAAAATAGATCCTTTAATTGGATGAAATCCAGTCTGCACATTAAGGTGGTTGATGGATATTTTAAGCCAGAAATTGGAACTGAATGAAATATTGATTTGGTTCAGGTTCAGTTCAAAGGCTACTCTGATATTCTGGTTTTGTTTCAGGTCAATAATTTCAGAAAAAAGGCTTAAGGATAGCACAGTCTTATTGGAAAAAGAAAAAAGGTTGGCTCAATTTTGTATTCAGCAAAGTAATAGTTTATTATACATTTTGCTTCAAGTTGCTGCTTCAAACGGAACTGTGATACAAAGTAAAAGCACTGGGTGTTAACTTTACTTGACACAGAGGCCCTGTATACTATTTTGTGATTATTCAGTGAGATAACGGAGTCATAAGCAGCAGAACTAAACCATCACAGTGTTTTCTTTCTACTGAGATAAATGTATACAGTGTTCAGGTGGGTTCATTGAGGCATGATATATATTATTAATGAAGCCACAGGTTGAGATCGCAGTTATTCTATTTATTTTTATTTTTTGAGACAATGTCTCACTCTCATCGCCCAGGCTGGAGTGCAGTGGTGCGATCTTGGCTCACTGCAACCTCTGCCTCTCGACTTCAAGTGATTCTTGTTCCTCAGCCTCTCAAATAGCTGGGATTACAGGTGCGCGCCACGACACCTGGCTAATTTTTGTATTTTTGCACAAATACTAAATTTTGTATTTTTAGTAGAGACGGAGTTTCGCCATGTTGGCCAGGCTGATCCCGAATTCCTGGCCTCAAGTGATCTGCTCGTTTTGGCCTAAGCCACTGTGCCTGGCCTTCTATCATTTATTTTTGAAAAATTCTCTCTGACTCAATGCCGTTTTCCTGGGGAATTTTTACAAAATGGATTTTGTGGGGTGAGAACTGCGGTGAGGCTTGGAATACTGCAGACACTCTTACTGCTATCTGTAGCAAGAGGAGTGTGGTGTTGATGGTAAAGACTGCGACGGAAAAGTATGTTGGGTTTGGTTTTGCTTTCCAGGAAGATATTGGGGAGACTCAATGGGGCCAGTAGTTTTCTTAGAATCTTTTTTCATGCGCTTTATGTCTTTGATGTTCTTGTTGGAGACAGCCATTGGCCAGCTTACGAGCTGTACCTTTTCCCTTAGTTGTCAAATTTGGCAATTCTTCCTGTGAAGGCCCCAGCAAATGCTACTCTGCAGACTGAGAAGTCGTAGCATGATCGAGATTGGCTGCTTTTCTTCCTTAAGTCTACTTGATATCATAGTAGATTATTCTCTTTGAACTTTCCAGCAGAGCCAATTAATTCTGGCTTCCTGGGGGAGACAGGGGTATTGAAATGTGAGCTTTTACAGCACTGGTCTTGGATTCAGGGCTACCCTCTCTTCTGGCCTCAGATTCAGAGATTCTCGAATTCAGAGGATTTGAGCCTTACAGTATTCTATCAAACAATGCCAGTGTGTTTCTTTATTTGGCTGTTTCTATTAATGAAACAGTGACATAATTAATTCATAATTAGGATGCCTTAGAGGTCTGTTTCCCTCTTAATCAATCACTAGAGAGAAGATGACTCTAGTAAAGCCCCAGTATATTCCTCAACTAAAGCAAAATGACTGTAAAGAATTCAGGCATCTCTGCACGTTGGATTATCTTGGAACCAGTTTACTTCAGGGATGCATCTTGAAAGAGGAGGTTTTACATAGTTCTCTTTTTTCTTAGACTAGTTTCGGTCAGCTAACTAAGACCTTTCTTGTCAAATAGAAAGAATACAAACTAACCACAAAACAGCCCTTTATTGTGTCCTTTGTGTATTTTTCACCAGGGCTGATTATTTTTAGAACACTTCCTGGAAGGTTGCATGCTCAGTTTCTTTAATCCCCAACTCCTCTCGGCTATGTTTTGCAGGAGAAGCTGTGCCTGAGGATGAACAGATCAGTGCCAAGGACCAGAAGAACCTGGAGCCTTGTGATAACACCCCCATCATTGACAATATTGCTCCTGTTGTTGCTGGCATCTCTACAGAGGATAAAGAGAAGTATGACGAGGAGATCTCCAGTCTCTACAGACAATTGGATGACAAGGTCCGTGGCCAGAAATTTACAGTTCTCACTCTGCTACACAGATGAAAGATGGCAGGTCCCAGCTCCCTGTGGAGCTGATGTAGGGCTACCGCTCGATCTTTATGTCTGGTTTCCTAATACCTACCCTAGCGCTTTGTTGGTGCAGACTCTGGGAGCTTGATTAATGTGGAATGGACATGTTAAGGGGAATTTGATTGAAAGAGCAGAGTGTTGGCTTAGATAGACAGGCAGGTGCTATTTAGAATCTTATCTTCTAGACATTGGACTGGGCTGATTACTGCATCAAAGACGGGGTGTGTGTGTCCATGATTTTTAAGTTTCCCTTCCTTTCTCCTCTGGGCCTGTTCTTCACCTCTTGGAATCTCTAGCAGTAGCCTCAGCTAGGGGCAAGAGGGTGACTCCCAAAATTCAAGCGGGTACTTTAATTACATAGCCGTAAGGCCCTGGGATGAGAAACCGATAGTCATGTGGTCTGGTGGCTTCACCTAACTGGTGAAGCTCTTTTTACGGGTATATTTCTTGAATGAAGTAGTTTGAATGTGCTAATTGGAGATATCCAATTTTATGACAAGCTTTTGGGGCTCAAATAGTCATGTAAATGCACACGTTGGTATAGAGAAAGAGAGGCCTTGGAGAACACTGGGAGAACCAATTAAAGGTTGGATTAGAAATCCCAGAGGCTTGGGAATTCACTTGATGTTTTATATGATGTTGGCATGTTGTCCTTGGAATATTCTAACTCCTTTCAGTTCATTTCATCAAGGTTGCTGATATTTTTCGTCTGATTTAATCTTTTCTGCTGTGGTTCAGCTCAGAGTGCTTAGGGACACCTCTGGCGTGTATGAAACAGGTTCGTTATGTTAACATTGCCATTAATCTTACAGGCCTCTCTCTTTGGGGTGAAGCTCAGAGTCTGGTATAACCTTTGCAAGCTGAATGTGACTGGCCGCCTTAAGGAAGCTAGTTCTGCTTGTTTGTGATTCCAAGAGCTTGCACTATAACCACAGCATTAATCTGGGGTCATCTCACCCTTCTGAAAACACATTTAATAAAATGTTCACACCCACAAGATAGGTTACTTGCCCTTTAGCCTCCAGGCATACCATTATCTTCCATTTCTACCCATGTATTTTATGCAAAACCTCAAACAAAGAGAAAGAGGAGATCAATAGTTAACAGTATATGCAATTTCTTGATTTCCCTAAGGAATTGCTATTGCTTAAATGGTAAAGATTAGACCATATGCATTGTTCTTCTTATTTTAGAACTGATGGGCTCATTTTTAGTAATCACAGAGAATCCTGGGTGAGGGGGTGAGAAGCTGATTCTGTGTTCAGTTCTCTATGAATAGACACCTGCATGGTGGAATCAGGATCATTTATTTACCTTGGCAGCACAAGGAACTTTCATTGATCCAAGAGAGAGACTTTAAAGTCTCAAATATGACTTACGAAATGTAGTGATTAGGATAGAGAGATGAAAATGCGTGTCCAAGGCATTCAGTTGGTAGCTGAATATCAGGCTTGAGTGGCTGTCTCCTGGTGGCCAGCCTAGGCCATTTTGTTACGTCATTTTCCTACAACATGTGCTTTGAAGACTCTGTAAGGCCCACAGTTCAAGGCCAGCATTTGTGGTCCATCACATGTTGATGCTGAGAGATGTGGGAGAGGACTGAGCTTAGAAGCCTCAGCCTTAGGGGGGACCAGAGCTAATGGTTTGCCCTCAGTGACCCTATAGACTGCCTGATTATGTCTTGCCAGCTGTCATTCTTAGGGGTCCTTCTCTCAAAGGTTCTAGGAGGTTCTTCTGTGTTTCTTTTGATGTAGGTGGTTTGACATTTGAAGAATACATGAGGTGGGATATGGCACCTTTTTATTTTACTGAATGGTGGAACAGGTGGTATTTAGGTTTGGGTGAGGCACTAGCCCAGGGTGGCTATATGACTTACCCAAGTGTATATCACGCAGAGGCAGCAGAGCTAGGGTGAGGTTACCTGTCTTCTGACTTCCACTGCAGTGCTCATCCTATTTTGCCCTCAGCCTTTTAAATAAGGACCTGGTCAACCTCAGTGGATCTGTTTTGGGTGTGGAGGGAGAAAGACCACCTGGTTTCCTGCCAGCTACCCCTTCTGTCCCTTCTGTCCCTCTGTGCTTCCCCGCCAGGGTTCCAAGGACAAGTAGTCTCCCAAGGCCAAGCTGTGTGATGGGCAAGCAAGCATTGTGGAGTCAGACCTGTGACAGTGACACTGAGACCTGGGCAGACCTGGGACAATAATGCTGAGTCCTGGGCTGGTGGCTGGCCCTGCTGAAGGCGCTCTTCTCCTCTGTATCGTGAGGGTCCTATCTGTTACTTCAAAAGGTTGCAGTGAGGATTAAAAGTTTCTCGTGCATTGCAGGTGCCTAGTAAATATTAATTCCCTTCTTTCTTCTGGTCTCCCGCTGGGCTCTGCTTACTTCTGCATGTAGTGTGGAAGGGGTGTGGTACCAAGGGGGCCACCAGCAGAGACACAAGGTGAACAGGTTGGCACTGGCACTCTCTCTTAGTCCTTGTCCCTCTACAGTACAGCTCTGCTGTTGGAGATCCTGAGATGAACCAAGCTTAAATAGAAATAAAAGTTGATTGTTTTTATGCCAATTACCATTGCAACAAAAACATCTTTATAATTAAAGGTGACCAGTGACCTGTGGACAACCAGGGTTGACTAGTTTCACGTTTATAAGGGTGTGCATGTTACTTACATTATTTTTTTGAGACAGAGTCTTGCTCTGTTGCTCAGGCTGTAGTGCAGGGGCACAATCTTGGCTCATTGCAACCTCCGCCTCCTGGGTTCAAGCAATTCTCCTGCCTCAGCCTCCTGAGTAGCTTGGATTACAGACGCATGCCACCATGCTGACTAATTTTTGTATTTTTATTAGAGACGGAGTTTGACCATGTTAGCCAGGATGGTCTCAATTTCCTGACCTCATGATGTACCTACCTCAGCCTCCCAAAGTGCTGGGATTACAGGCATGATCCACCACGCCCGGCCACGTGTTTGTTTGTTTTTTTTTTTTTTTAAATTAAAAAAAAAAAAAAATTCGAGACAGGGTCTTGTTCTATTGCCCAGGCTGGAGTGCAGTGGTGAAATCACAGCTCACTGCAGCTTCAGCCTTCGTGGCTCAAGCCATCCACCTGCCTCAGCCTCCTGAGTAGCTGGGACTACAGGCACATACCACCACACTCAGCTAATTTTTTTGGCATGTTTTATAGAGATAGGGTTTTGCCATGTTGCTCAGGCTGGTCTCAAAGTCCTGGACTCCAGTGATCCAGCTGCCTTGACCTCCCAAAGTGCTGGAATTATAGACATGAGCCACTGTACCTGGCCTCATGCTATTTCATGTATAAGAAAATTCAAGTGTAAAAATATTTTCTAAAAAGTGCTTTAAAATTTGTTATCCATGAACTAGATCTTTAGTGCTGGCATCAGAGTGAGCATGCTTACGCATGTTCTGAGAGATGCAGTTGAATGTGTAGATATAAGCACACCTTATTATTCTGGAAGTTTTGAAAGACTTTAAAAAAAATCACAATAGATCTCATTAATTCCTTAGAGAAGTTGCCTTGATGAGGGGTAAATGGAGTTTGGGAAATGTCTCTGGTACAAGTGATCCATGTCTTCTGTAATATCATCCTTGCTCTTCATCTTTCCAGGTGGGGCCAGGGGCCCTTGGTTTCTTACTGTACCTTAAAAATCACTGCATCCCAGCTTGTCACCTGCCGGGAGGAAGCCTGTCTCTTCAGGCTTTGAAATAAACACAGCATAAGAACACAGTTCACTCCACCATTTCTCTCCTCTCACGATTTATAAAACTTGTAGTGCTTGTCCATGTGTCCCAGGGCAAGAGATGGTAGCTCTTGATGGTGAACTCTTTGAGTCCTTTATGCCAAGCTGTTTAAGTGCTTAGGAACATAAACACAAAATTGTTCCTGGTAACTGACATGCTAAGTTTATAAAGTAGAAGAGAAAATATATCTACAAAATAGTCTTCTAGTTGTAGAAGTGCCAGTTTTTGGAGGTTTCATTCTGGTATAATTTCCCTAATTCGCCTGCCAGAAATATGATTTGTGCAAGAAAATAGAACCATTAAAGAAACATTGGTGTAAAGAGTTCAGTAGAAACAGGATCTCTTTGAGCAGAGAAGCTAAGCCAAATGATGTTCCACATAAAGGACAAGGAGGTTCAGATCCCGTACGGCTGATTTTAGAATTCTCTTTCTCTGTGGAAAGCATTAGTTTGTGACATTGAATTAACCTGATTCAAATGTATGCATAGATACCACCATACAGACTGGGAAACATCCCATGGAACATGGAGCTTCTGTGACCCAGGCCCTTAAGTCTGGGTTGGATCTCACCTCTGGAAAAGGCAAAAAGCATAGTACAGGGTGTGTTTTTCTGGGCTGCTGATGAAATCACCTAGGTAGGACTTGGCACGGAGGAGGGCTCAAGGATGCTCAGTTGAATCTGTTTGGTGTTTAGACCCTAGAAGCCAGGTTGTCATCTTCACAGGCTATGTTTTACATTTCATTTGAAGTCATGAAAATAATGCAGCGAAGATTGTGTTGTTTTTATGTAGTTAGGCGTCATCTGCCTGCTGCTTCGCCTGCACCGGGGGTGGATGGAGTCTAAGGGGAGGCGGGAGAGGTGGGCAGTGAATTCCCTTGCTTTTGTGGCAGCAACACCTAGTGGCAGAAAATGAGAGTGAGAAAAGAGAATTTGCCTTTCCCACTTCAGCAACAGCTCAGAAAGTAAGCATGAATGTGTCTGCCCCTCAGCTGCCCTAAAGCTTTTTAAATTTTTTTTCAAACGGATAAGAAAATTAACTTCCAATCAAGAGGGAGGTCTTCCAATGGCAAATCTCCAGTTCATGTTTTTCTGGTCTCTCTGAGAGATTTGAAGTGGAAATGTTGGCTCTCCCTACCGATCTGGTGGCAGCACTCCTGTTTACTGATGTGCTCGACAGGATTTGGTACGATAACATTATGTTGCAGATAGTTAGAAATTCACTCCTTTATTTTTTGAATTAGGAATTTCACTGTTAACGTCTTTGAATTAGGAGGCATATCTCCAAAGTCCCTTCTAGCTCCCAAACCCCAGATCTCTGATTTCTCAACGAGCAGGAATTGGGTTGAATTTGCAGGATATTATATTTCCAGAATATTCAGATGTTTCACCTGCTGAGAAAGGTGGGTGAAGAGGTATTTTAACTGAATGAGATCTCAGAACCAGTCTGTTTTCTGTGCAGCAACACCACACCATTCCTTCCTCCTTATCAGCAAGCGTATGGTAGCCGGCTGTCACTGGGAGATCGGGATATCAAAAATGGCATAACTAACCAAAAAAACAAACATGATGTTTCGTTTCAGGATGATGAAATTAACCAGCAGAGCCAGCTGGCTGAAAAGCTGAAGCAACAGATGTTGGATCAGGATGAGGTAAAGAATGCAATATTTTTTTTTTTCACAAAGTTCTTCTATTACTTTGTTGTTGATGTTTGTTCTAGAAATTTAATTTATAAAGAAGCTTTTCATAATCACAGAATCATGTGGAAATTTCTTGGTAGATTTCCCTTCACTGCCTGTTACAAGCTGATTATCACTGAATTTAGAAAACAAATGTCTGACTTTCAAGAACCCTTGCTGTTTTGAGATTGAATAGCCAGTGGCTACACTTAGTCTTGGGAGAACGGAGACCTTTGGTTGGGTAATCGGGCAAGGATGATCCTTTTTTATTTTTATTTTTTGAGATGAGATCTCTCTCTGTTGTCCAGGCTGGAGTGCAGTGGTACAATCTTGGCTCACTGCATCCTCCAGGGCTCAAGTGATCTTCCTGCCTAAGACTCCCAAGTAGCGAAGACTACAAGAGTGTACCATCATACTTAGCTGATGTTTTAATATTTTGAGGCAGAGTTTTGCCACGTTGCTCAGGGTGATCTTGAACTCCTGGCCTCAAGCTTGCCTGCTGCCTTGGTTTCCAAAGTATTGGGATTATAGATGTGAGCCACCTTGTCTGGCCTTGGAAAAGGATGATTCTGCCTCCTAATACCCATCACTACTGTGTCCTTTTGTTTGAGTCCTATTTCAGTTTTGTAGTCAGCTGGCTCAGGTCTTTGATATACTATGTTCTCCTGCTGTCCTGTAGGGAAACGCAAACAAAAACAAAACTAGAAGGTAGAAGAGGGGGAAGGCAAAGAGAACGGGGCCTGAGTACTGTATCAGCATATATTTGATACACTGAAAATGAGGCAAATTTGTTTTCAGTCTCTCCCAAAAGGGATTCAGTTCTTCAGTAAGTGTTCTTATTACACTGTGTTTTGCCAAGTATTTTACAAACAAGAACCTAAGCAAAGGATAGCCAGCCAACCTATCAAACGTGCACAATTAGTAATCCCCTCTCTGAGGACCGTTTACGTGTTGTTCTCTTTTGTGCTTTAAGCTGTTTTCTGCTTCGTTGCTTAAATGCTGTGGATTGGATCCCACCATGCAATGACAGCAGGTGCCTGGAGTCCTGTCCTCAGTCCCAGGCCTCTGTAACCATTTCCTTCCTTTGTTCCCCTTCATCTCTTTAGGACAATGATTACCTCCCCTTCCCAAACACTTCCCTTTGTAGGGAGATCATCTACACTTTTGTAATCAGGTGAACTATATTTCATTGATCTGGCTCAGCTATAGTCGAGGCCTTCCATTTGCTTGAGTTTCCTGCTCTCTACCTCCCATTCTACTCCAGTTTTCCCCACATTGGCACAGCTGCCTGGGATAAACTTTCCTTCTTGTTACTGTTAAAACTTCTTAACATTTTTCTTTTTCTATACTATCAAGACAGTATCTGTTCAATATAGGAAAATCAACGTAGGAACAAAGATAATGAGAGCATCAGCAAGCCCAGACATTCGCTTTTAACTAATGATAATGTTTGGGGTACATCCTTTGTACATTCATGATGGATGTTAAAAAAGGGTGACTGATTGCTCTTTTATACTGTTTTAGTTGATTGTGAAGTCAACCAGTGTACAATGTGAAATCCTGATAACATTTAAAAATGATGTAAGTGTTATTTTCTTGCATCCTTTGTTTGTTTGTTTATTTAGATGAAGTCTTGCTCTGCTGCCCAGGCAATAGTGCAGTGGCGTGATCTCGGCTCACTACGACCTCCGCCTCCCGGGTTCAAGCGATTCTCCTGCCTCAGCCTCCTGAGTAGCTGGGATTATAGGTGTGCGCCACCACACCCAGCTAATTTTTTTTTCTGTATTTTTAGTAGAGATGGGGTTTTGCCATGTTGGCCACTCCTGACCTCAAGTGATCCACCCGCCTCAACCTCTCAAAGTGCTGGAATTATAGGCATGAGCCACTGCGTCTGGCCCCAATACTTTGTTTAAAGTATGGAATAGCCAACTAGCTATAAAATACAGTGATTTTTGATGTGTAATTCATTCTTTGAGTTAAGGCTATACAGCTTTAAACTAACAACAGAAAACAGCATATAAAACAAAACACATATGCACACAAAACAGATTTTTGCAATAAGAACATATCTGTCTTTTTATTTATTTATTTTTAATGTCTGGACCATACCATGAGATTTTCCATCATCCTGAAGTTTTCCAACTTGTTTTCTTGTATCTGGTTTTTAAGTTACTTAATTTTGGATACAGCATAGAACATAAACATTTGAACATTAGATTCACAAGTTCCATGCCATCCTATTTCCCCAGCTTTTAGCTTCCACAAGAAGAGACTATGAGAAGATACAAGAGGAGCTGACACGTCTCCAGATTGAAAATGAGGCAGCCAAGGATGAGGTGAAAGAAGTTCTGCAGGCCCTGGAGGAGCTGGCTGTCAATTACGACCAGAAGTCACAGGAAGTAGAGGATAAGACCCGGGCCAATGAGCAGCTGACAGACGAGCTGGCCCAGAAAACGGTTGGAGCATTTGTGTCTAGGGGGTGGGACTACCTTGGCTGCCATTCCTGTACTCATATTGCTATTCATTGACAGACATGGTATAAGGAGGTGGTGGCTGAACAGTTACTCAATGTTAGATGTATTCTCTGAGGTCCCACCAACAATTGAAATACTTCATGCAAGTGACTTTTGTCCACTCATCTTGAACTGCATATCACGACTGCTTCATATCCAGAGAATTTATAACATTAGTGGGGATGCTTTGTGGGAATAGTCAAAAGAGTGCAGACTTTGGAGACAGAAAACCTTAGTTACAAGTCTGACTTCATAACTCTTAGACCTTAGCTGGGACAGTTAAGCTTTGTGAGTATTCATTCCCTTATCTGTAAAAATGGCAATGATAACACGCTGCTTGCATGGTGTGAGGATTAGTGACAGTTTATGTAAAGCACTCAGCACAGATCTGTGCATATGCTACAATATCAATACATACATCTCCAAGCATTGCTACTGGCAAGAGTGGGGTCCCACGGAAGGTATGGACTTCACTCTTCTTGCTTATACCCTTCTGAATGAATTCCGTTCCTTTCTGTGAGCTTCCTGTCCTAGCTGTTATTTTCAGGAGCCTGGAATTAAGCTGCCCTTGTTTGTTTGTTTGCTGCTCTGTTTTAGCCAGTACTTTAGCTTGCACATTCCCTTATTTCCAGATTCTTCGAATGAAAGATGCCGTAGGTTCTACAGTGAGCTAGCAGCAGCAGGGCCAGTGAGTGTTTGGCATGATGGGATGGGATGTGTCCTTTTCTACCTGGAAAATGAGTGGTAGAGAAGCTGAGTGACTCTAACCTGCTTTCCTTAGCACCTCTGCGCAATGGCCTGGTGTCCTGGGCTTGTGCCCAGCCTACTTTGTGGAAAGCATCCAGTTTAAAAAGAAGTGGCAGATGGCACAGGAGAGTGCTGATCTGCTGACTGTGAGGCTGACAGGAAGTGCTCCTTGTAGCATACATTCAGCTGCATGGAGGAAGACTTTTCTAGCAGCTTCCTAAGATGGGGACTACTGCCTCTGCGGATTTTAAAAACAAGATGACATAAGCAGTTGGCAATGCCAAACAAAATAAAACAAACTAATTCAGAAGTCACTTAGGAAATGGGGAGATTTAGATTTCCTTTGCTTAGTGTTTTCTATGGGATTCTTTTAATTCATCCTTCATTGCTTCTTAAAACAATGAAATTGTTTTAAGAATTTTGCATAATACAGTTCTTACTTGCCATGAAACCAAAGTATTACTAGATTGGTTTAGAAGACTATTATTAGATTGTTTAAGAATGTTCTAGCTACATATGGGAGAATTTTATAAATAGATAGCCGTTTTACTGATGTTGAACATTAATTACTTAAGAATACATACCTTTTGGCAAGATACAGGAAGGATGAAAAAGAGATGGGTTTATTAAAGTTTGACAAGAAAATAGAGCTTCTGCTGTATAGTAAGAAACCAACTATTGAACTTAACCTAATTTTGAAAAAAGATGAAGAGGGTTTAATTCCGCTTAACTCTGAAAATTACAAGACTTTTTTGAAGTTGTTTTCTAAACTTGTTGATGTTCCTCTGGGCCATCTGTTTTAGACCCATCTGTCTTTGTCAATTTAGGTGGAAATACGGAGGTGGCTAGGGAGCAGGTTTGTTTAGGAGTGGAGGTGGGGACACTTGCAGGTGAGTTTAGACCATGAAATGAAACAGGAGGGCTGAAATAGAACATCTGGCAAGTAGGAAGATGCGATTACATGTTATAAACTTAAGGACTTCTTTTTTGGCTTTACTTATTTTTAATAACTTATTTCCCTGACTTGGAAATTGTCATCTGATATGTAGACATATAACATATCAGGCCGTGTAATATAACTTGTAGATATAGAGTTCACTTCTTATCCAAGAATGCAGTGCAATGCAACCATTTACCTTAAAAGGATTCTTAGGTTGAAGTCATGTAAAAGAAATCCATTCTACATGATGGTGTTATTCTTTGTAATGTGGAGCGTATGAAATTGATGGACAACTCTTTGAATTTGTTGTTGAAATTTGTTTTTCAGACTACATTGACAACCACGCAGAGAGAGCTGAGCCAGCTGCAAGAGCTTAGCAACCACCAGAAGAAAAGGGCAACTGAGATCCTGAATTTACTGTTGAAAGATTTGGGGGAGATAGGTGGAATTATTGGCACCAATGATGTGAAAACCGTAAGCCAGTCCTTTTATCCTCTCTGCTTGTTCTTAGCAAGTTAGCAGAGTGTGTGCTTTATTCTTTTGAGCATCAGTGCTTAGCACTGTGCTTTGCATCTGCCATATGCTTGGTGGTGTTTGAATGAATGAAAAAAGGACTGATTGAATGACCGAGTGAATGGTTGTTGGGGTGAGGAGGAAAAACAAATTTACCTTTGAAATCTAGGCAGTGTCTTCAAATCTTGGTTGGCTTTGTATAAACTGGATTATTCCTCAAACTTATTTTGTTGCAGAAGTTTGGAATTAAATAGCTTAAGCAACAGTTCAAATCTTAGAATTGTGTTTTTCCATTTCTAAAAGAGCCCAGTGGAGTGAAAATTCTCCAACAAGTCAGTGTGAAAGTAGTAGGATTCTATGGCTTAAGAAACAAAGCCACGTTTAATTATTCACAATATGAGAAGCCGAAAATCTTGCTATTCAAGGTGTGATCTGCCTCACCAGGCAGCTTATTGGAAGTACAGCCCCTCATGCCCCACCTCAGACCTATTGAATCAAAATCTATACTTTAACAAGATCCTCCAGGTGATTCTTTATGTTTATTAAAGTTTGAGAAGCAAATTTTGGTTTGGTGCCATGGCTCAATAATGTCAAATTCCCAGACTTTTTCTCTATTTCCTTTCTCCTGTCCTCAGCCTGTTTCCTTTTCATGTCCAGAGGATTGTGCCTCATGGTAGCAAGATAGCTGCTGTAGTACAAATCATCACATCCTCACTCAGCCACATTCAAGGCAGGATGGGCTGAAAAGGCCAACTGCTTTCATCAGGAAAACATATTTCAGGAGGGAAACATATTCCAGAAGTCCCCAGGAGACATTTCCTTATACTTCATTGGCCAGGATTAGATCACATGACCACTCCGTTTCTGGGAAAGCAAAGGGGAATAGGATTACTATAATTGGCATAAACCAATTGTGATGAATCCCCTGGGGTTGTATGCATGGTGCTCTTGGTTTGTTTGTTTTTTGAGGCAGAGCTTTGCTCTGTCACCCAGACTGGAGCACAATGGTGCAATCTCAGCTCACTGCAACCTCTGCCTCCCAGGTTCAAGTGATTATTGTGCCTCAGTTTCCTGAATAGCTGGGATTACAGGCATGTGCCACCATGTTCTGCTAATTTTTGTATTTTTCTTTGTATTTTTTAGTAGAGGTGGGATTTCTCCATGTTGGCCAGGCTGGTCTCAAACTCCTGGCCTCAAGTGATTTGCCCACCTTGGCCTCCCAAAGTGCTGGGAATACAGACATGAGTCACTGTGTCTGGCCATTGGTGCTCTTGATGGCAAGAAAGTAAGATGTGGGGAGAATAGGGGTGGTATAAAGTTGTCTAGGACCTAGGAATAGAGGGAAGAGAGACAATTAAAAATGGTGTCAGCCAAGAACAGTTAACAATTTGCTGGAATATAGAAAGGCCATTGTCATTAACCAAAAATACAGGGTAGAGACACTTTTAAAACAAAACTTTATTGGAGTATAATTTACATAAAGCTGTACATATTTAAAGTATACAGTCTGAGAAATTTCGACATACGCGTACACTCATGAAACCATCAGCACCGTTAAGATAATGAGTGTCTCCATCTCCACCAAAAGTATGTGGGGCTCTTTCTGGTCTCTCTATTTTGTTTCATGGATCAAGTCTTTCTGCCAATACCGCAATGTTTTGATTACCATAGCTTTATAATAATATAGCATCTTATACAGAGGAGTCACTGATTAATATATGTTGACTTTGTTGAGCTGGGGAATGGTATTACATTGCTTACCTTACATCTCACAATTTGCTGAAACCAAAATCTTTGAATTTAGCCATTTTATCTTTAAAAGGCTGAATTCTACATCAGTCTGCTTAGTGGGAACACTGAGGTTGTGAGTTGAGATTGTTAAATACAGGAAAATCTCCCAAGATTAGGCTTCCTTTTGTAGACTATTTCTGGGAAATGATGAAAGCTCTTTTTGGATGGCGTAATAGGTCTCTGCTTAGAGTACATGACTGCTTGTTAACTATTCTTTCATGGAACCTGTATGGTAACGGAATATTTCATAAATCCTTGTGAATGAATCGAATTCTAGCACAGACTTCTCAGGTACTATAGAGTTAACCTTATTAAGATTCAGTTTGGTGATTTTATATTTGAAGATTTAATTTTTGGAACCACACATTTGTGTTGAGCAATAAAATTCTGATGTGAAGTGATTAAATGGCTTCACAATATGAAGGTGAAGTTGATTTGTGGGAAGCTGATGCTTGCTACTGATAACGATAAAGGCAGAACGTATTTTTGTGCTAAGTTCTAAAATAGAGCTGATGAAAATGCTAATGAAATCAGGAGTGTCTAGGTGCTTCAGTAGTAAAAAAAAGAGCCTTTACCTTTGGGAATCTGAAGTATGATTGAGATTGAAATTATTTTTAAATACTCAATTGGATGTTTTTGAGATTATTTTTGGATTCCACAAATTGGATGCCCTAGTTAATTTCATTGATAGCTCTCATTTATATCATTCTGGGTTTTTTTCTTATAAGTGTGAGTTAATCATTAGGGCGAAAAGAGCTAATGGAGTAGTTGTATGACTTTGGGTGAGTCACTGTACTTCTCTGAGCTTCATTTTTCTAATTGATAAAACAACAAGATAAGCTCAGACAATATCAAAGTTGTCAACTCAGAAATTACATGATTTCTGCACATTTGTTTTAGATTTATCCTAATAGGTACACGTACTTTTCTTATTGGTTATGACTATGAATTGATAAGGTAATTCTTTTAATATAAGAAATGAAGAGATCAGGGAAATTTGTTTCGGTGATTTTATATTTTTGTCCCGAAATGCCATTTAATTTTCACAAGGTCCCTCCTGGTAGGACTCTGGGATGGGGAGAAAGATGGCTGTTGGAGACGTCTCTAGTCCACAGTTCCAGAATATGACAGCTCCGAACAGCCAGAAAACAGAAAAGCCCGTATACTCAGCTCAGCCATGTCTTAAAACATTTCCAGAGTCCAGGCATTTTGTTTCATCAACAAAACAAGATGACCCCAGCATATAACAAGATGAGCCCAGTGTTATCTTTATCCAAATTTATGAGTGAGCCTTCTCTTCCTTTTTTTGTGTACTGGTGGCACTGCACTGTCAGCAGAAGTATGGTGAGATCCATACATTCGGAAAGGAGAGCTTTATTTCTCATAAAGAGTTGCAGTCTGCAGGGTGGCCATTCTTACAGGCTGGGAAGTGTGGCCTCTGTCCAGAAGCCAGAAATAAGCACTTTGAGGATGGGAATAATAAGGGATTAATGCTGGATTGGGGGTGGTGGGGCAAATGTACATATGCAACAGGTTACAGGAGCTGTGAAGATTCATGAAGGAGTGGTATGTGCATGCGAAGCAGGATAAACATGTATGCAACATGGGTCCCATGTTCACTCTGGTTTGGAGACTTAACATTTAAATGTATTACAGTTAGGCCCTATACATCAAAGGGTGAAGCAGAGGACATGAAGTTTCCCTGAGTGCAGCCTTAGTAGCCTGGCCAGAACCAGAACCACTTCGTGGTTGGTGGTCTCTTGTTGGAAAAGGAATGCTGGTTGGTGGTTGTGTTGAAATTGCAAAAAAGAGGGGCAGGGGCAGGCCATGGTTGATATCAGCAGTGAAACAGTGGAGCGAATATTTCAAAAGGGCTGGCTTCTGTTTAACTCGGGAAAGAAGGCCTGATGGCGATTAGCGGAGGAGGAGGTATGACCAGGCGTTTCCAACTTCCCATCTGTCACGGCCGAGAACTCGGTATTTAACATTTCTCTGGGGTCCCCTTGGCCAAGAGGGGGTCTGTTCAGTCATTTGGGGTTTAGGATTTTATTTTTATTTCTTGGCGCCTACCTTACCTTGCCACTTTCAAAGGAATCTAGCCAGAAACTGAATAGAAAGTTGAGGTAGAGTAAATGAACTGAATTGGACTGGCTGCCTAAGTTTCTTCTGGTCCACTCTGACTTCTCTTTGACCCATTCTAACTTTTAGGCTTTTAAGTGTGAGCAAGCACCTTACTTACCTTGGGTGTGGCCTAGAAATGGCAGTAGTCTTGCACAGCCACTCCATGCTTGAGAGATGGGTAGGGAGGTGGGGGCGACTCCCTGTATAGGCCAGCAGAAGCAGCAGGCCACATCTTCCATGAGATTTCATGACGGTGCAGTCTTTTCTCCTGGGTTAGTCATTGATACTGGATCCCATGATCTAATATGTACTGCTGGGGGCATTATCAGACTCTGGGACAGTTATAAATAACATTTCAGCCGCAAACTGATTATTTTTTTGAAATAGCAGTGTCCTGAAATTATTGGAAACTTTTGAACATGAAACCACTAAATATATGAACTCTGCAGTGGTAAGAAAGCTCAAAGTTGAAAACCATTTGTTTTTATCCATCAGGCACAAACTCAAAATCTCCTTTTAGATCTCCGAGGATAAGAATTGGCTTCAGAAGTTATAGCTCTGGTTTGGGAGGAGAAATGTCTAGCTCTCATTTTGGAGAAAGCCCATCTTTATACATATCTATATTTTTACTCTTCCTCAATTTACATGGGATCTGGGCATAAAAGGCAAAGTGTCCTACTTTGACAGACCTGGAAAAGAAGGAGGATTCATTCTCTTCCCAGGGTGCCGGAGCTGCTGGCTCAGCAGCGTTTTCCTACCAGGAGCTGGTATAGGCTGTGAATTGGAAGAGACGGGTGTTCCTTTACCTTTCTGCAGAAGCTAGACAAGATGTGAAATATACCTGGTCAGACTCAGGAAACTCAGGAGCATTTCTCTTCTCTCTCCTGCACTGGACTAAAGACCCTGGCAGAACAAATGGAACTGAAGATTGCATGCTTTTCTCACCCAGTGTGAGAGGAAGAATGCCACTGGAATAGAAAAGGAACGTAATGAAGAGTGGTGTTGGGAGGCAGATCTTTGACAGTCGGAAGTAAAATGGGTTTAGCAAGGACCTCCATGAAGGCAGAGTCAGAAATAGATACTAGTCGATTTTCTTGCTGTTGACATATATTCTGCAGTATTATTGACGTTGGAGTCACTTGACATGTACTATTGTTGAATTCTTTTTTTTTTTTTTTTAAATTTTTATTTCAGTAGCCTTTTGGAGGACAGGTAGTGTTTGGTTACATGGATAAATTCTTTAGTGGTGATTTCTGAGAATTTGTGCGCCAATCACCTGAGCGGTGTACACTGTACCCAATGTGTAGACTTTTATCTGTCACCACCCTGATGCCATTCTTTCCTCCAAGGCCCCAAAGTCCATTATGTCATTCTTAGGCCTTCATGTTCTCATAGCTTAGCTCCCACTTGTGAGTGAGAACATATGATGTTTGGTTTTCCATTCTTCACTTAGAATAATAGTCTCCTATTCCATCCAGGATGCTGCAAATGCCACTATTTTGTTCCTTTTTATGGCTGAGTAGTATTCCATGAATGTGTGTGTGTGTGTGTGTGTGTGTGTGTGTGTGTGTGAGAATAATTTTTTAAATCTACTTGTTGACTGATGGGTATTTGGGTTGATTCCATATTTTTGGAATTGCAAGTTGTGCTGCTATAAACATGCTTATGCAAGTGTCTTTTTCATATAATGACTTCTTTTCCTCTGGGTAGATACCCAGTAGTGGGATTGCTGGATCGAGTGGTAGCTCTACTTTTAGTTCTTTAAAGAACCTCCACACTGTTTTCCAGAGTGGTTGTACTAGTTTACATTCCCACCAGCACTGTAGAAGCGTTCCCTTTTCACCACATCTATGCCAGCATCTATTAATTTTTTGATTTTTTTTATTATGGCCATTCTTGCAGAAGCAAGGTGGTTTTGCATTGCAGTTTTGATTTGCATTCGCTGATAATTAATGATGTTGAGCATTTTGTATATGTTGTTGGCCGTTTGTATTGTTGTTGAATTCTTATGGTAAGGTCGATGCCAAGTTACAGGCACTCAGCAGTGTCCAGTGTACTCCATGTTTGCTACCAAATTTCAGGGCCGATACCTGATTCCATTTTTTTTAGCCCTCAAATATTTACTGAACAGATAGTTATATGATGAGTTAATGACAGCAATAACGACATAAGTGGGCACTCAGCATGTACTGTGGAACATCAAAAAAAAAAAAAAAAAAAAAAAAAAAAAAAACAAAACCATGGTTGGAGTCATTGTCTTTCGACCAGTGGAAGGAAGCCTGTGTTTCTGTGCTGGATTCTGGACAGGGCTCTTTGTTTTCTCTTGAGGTGCTAGGCTGCCCTCTGGTGGCTAAACAAAATATGCACACAGTTACTTGCTCATTCGGTCAATTGCTCTTCAAGACCATGTTTACATTTTATCAGATGGGTTTCTATCACAAATACTTTGCTTCAACTTTTGTTTCTGGTAGAGCTTTGAAACTTTAACCAAACATAGATCACGCAGGAATGCTGGCTGTCAGAATCTTCTCTTCTAAAGTGGATTTAGACTGTTCTCAGATGATCTTATGAGCTAGATTACTGTCTGTCTGGAAGGAGCAGGTGTGAAAAGGCAAAGGAAAATAGACTGGTAGTAGTAATGAAAACTTAGGGTGAGAAACCTTTATCAAGAAGCCCTTTGTTAATTAATGGTACATTCTTATTCATTTGATTTTCTATTTAATTGAGGACTACATAGAAACACATTTTTATTTCAATCCTTGTTTATAGGAACATATGCAAGGCATTATACCAATTCTCTACCTGAATAAACATACTATAGAGAACGTTAATGAAGTTTTGATTTGAATTTTTATAGGAATTCAGCATCACCTTTAGGAACATTGGGTCTCACTGCTATTACAGAGATGTAAGGTGTAAGACATTGAATGGAATACCTTTTTGAAGTTATCTCCTTTTAAAAATCTTCAGTGTTTCTTCTTATGCTGTCATCTCTCTTTTTCAAAATCGATGGCAATGAAAAACTTAGTTAATTGAGGATTATATTTAGTAGGGGGTTTCAACTGAAAGTTTCACCTGAGGTCTAGGAGAACTTGGGTTGAGTGTTGAGAAGTTTCAGCTTGTCCTTTAATTAGGATTCTGAACCAGAAATCCACAGACATCTTGGGGATCCAGAGGCAGGTTTCAGGGGAATCCATGAACCTACAGAAATTGTGGGCAGCATTTGAGCTTGGCCCCTCCTGTGCTCAGTTGGCAGATGTGAATGGAGTCATTGAGGAGGAGTTTACCATGGCCCGCCTGTACATCAGCAAGATGAAGTCAGAGGTCAAGTCCTTGGTGAACCGCAGCAAACAGCTTGAGAGCGCCCAGATGGACTCCAACAGGAAGATGAACGCCAGTGAGCGGGAGCTGGCAGCCTGCCAGCTGCTCATCTCACAGGTGGGTCCTTCTCTTCCCCCTCCTTGCACACTCTTCTCCTCTTGCGATCTGCTCCCTCCATGCCCTTGCTGGTGCTGACGGTGCGCCGTAGCCTTGGTTGATGGACTTTGCTTTGCCTAAGCTTGGCATTCCCAGGGGATGGCAGCCCAGGTCTATTCCTAGGACTACATTTTGTCTTGAGAATTACATGAATTCCATTGAGTCCTTTCCCTTTTTAGAGGATCTATCTATCTATCTATCTATCCATAGATGGATGGCTAGCTGGCTAATGAACATAAAATATTGGGTGGAATCTCTAAAACTCCTATAAGTAAGGCAATATTCCTTCATCTTTTAATCTCTACCATAGGTCCACTTTAATATGAAAAAAACAGAAACTGCTAGTAATAGTGCAGGTGGCATTTTATTGAGCATCTACTATGTACCATTCACTGCGCTAAGTACTTCACATGCCTTTTCTCACTTAATCTTAAAAAAATCCTGGTAGGTAAGTTTTATTATTATTCCTCTGTTTCAGATAGGCAGCTGAGATTTAGATTAAATATATTGTCCAAACAGTGAATGACAGAGCTGGGACTCAAACGAAAATGTGTGTGAACCCAAAACCCATGTCTTCAAGGGCTTTCAAGCCCGAGGGCACATTTCACTTGCTTATTGCCTAAGGCTGCTCTTCTCCCTGTGGGAGTGGCATTTTCAGTTTAGTAAGGTAGCTTCAGAAAACAGCAACCCAGTTTCTGGACTACCACTGTCATCTGAGCTTGGTATTTGGGTCTGACGTTTCCAGGAGGGGTCTAGTTGTAGGCTACTTACTGCCTTATGCCAGGCATTTAAATAATCATTTCGAGGAAGCAGGAAACAGATACCAACATGGATTGGTGTGTCAAATAATACGGAGGCAGACAGAAGCCTACTTTATTCTGGTATGCTTTTAACCATAATGATGTGTAATCATAGAAACATCTCCAACCTCCCTGTCTAAAATGGATTCACAAGGTTCCATTTTATAACCAACATAATAAGCGAAAATGTATTGAAAAGATTATTCAGTGCTAATGTGTGATAGTATAATTGATATATTCATACATTGTTGATAAAAGTATAATTTGGTCAGTTCTTTGGAAAAGCACCATGGAAATCAGAAATCATAAAAATGTAAGTATAATTTAGTCCAGCAATTTCACTGACAGTAGTTTTCATTGTTAATGAAAATGGAAAAAATTTATTTCATATGGTATTCTCATTTCCTGATTAAAAATATTAAAAGCTTATAGGCAAGGTATTGAAGACAGTGTTATTTTGCATGATAATAAAATAAATTGCCCAAATATCCATTGACAGACTAATAAGAGAAAGTTACATGGAATAATATTATGCAGCTCTTATAAAAAATTTATAAAACCTAGCCATTGGGAAAGTCTAATTATATAAAGTTAAGTGAAAATGAAAGTGCTGAGTTGGATTTATGTTGTGCTTTGAATTCCTGCAGATAAGATCAGGACTATCCGGGGGAAATAGTTGATACCTTGGTTTATGGTTTACACCAGTTTTTCTGGATTTGCTTTAGAACTTTATTTTTTATAATCATATGGTTATTATTTATAAAGAATGAAAATAAAAATGATACATATCAGGGAGCAGCGCACCTCCTATGTGATTCTAGGTCATCCATGATACCAACAGAATGCACTTTGGCCAACCTGCCTCTAACACTCAGGGGCACCAAGGCAAGGGTACTAATAGAGACCCCCATGGCCTGTGGCCCACCCTCTTCTCTTTCAAGCTGGACATGCCAGTTCCATGTCCAAGTCCCTTTTGCACCCACTGTGAACTGGTGAAACTGTTAGATGTCAGCTGCCATTTGTACGAATGGGTGAGGAAGAGGTAGTGCCACCTCTGGCCTTCAGACCTGGAGTAGGAAGTTTCTAGGTCCCCAGTACTCTTGAGTGTGGCCTACAGGAACATAGGTTCAGGTGGACATGCTCCCTTGGCCTGTGAACTCTTTGCTTAGTGGAGTGGGGTGCAACCAGAGGAGGACCCAGTGGGGTGCTCCAAATTGTCCAGGCCTCAGAGTGAATGACTTTGCTGTATCAGATCAGAGTCAAGAATATTAGCGTGTGTTGAGTTTAAAGAGTGCCCGTTACAAAGTTCTTTTTCTATGTCAACAACAAACACAGCTTCCCTTAGGTGCTGGTTGGGACTTTGCTACAATTTGTACATGGCAAAGATTCCATTATTCCCTGAGTTTCAAAAGTAACAGAAAGTAACAGAAACTGTGGCTCTTTATTTTCTGATGTGATCTAAGGAATCTGATACCGTTTTTCCAGCTGAAATGCTATCTTTGTTTACATTCATCCTAAGGGTGAGCCCCCTAGATCTGGAGAGGGGAGTGTTCTGTATACATTTTCCATCTGCCTGGAAGTTAGGCCAGCCTGGGTGACCACTTGCTAGTCATTCACTCTTCCTTTTTGCTTATTTAAAGCATGAAGCCAAGATCAAGTCTCTGACAGACTACATGCAGAACATGGAACAGAAGAGGAGGCAGTTGGAAGAGTCCCAGGACTCGCTCAGTGAAGAGCTGGCCAAGCTCCGAGCCCAAGGTGAATATTTGTCTACCACGTAAACACCTGGCCTGTCAGACAGCCTCTGGTTGGCTGGAATCATGATGTTTAGTTTTGTTCAGTTAAAGCATTTCTAGATCTTTTGCAAACAATAGCATAACTAGAAAAAAAGGAGAGATTTCTAAGAGACCATCCCCCCACTGAATCTGCTCATCTTCCCATTTCCCCATAGTCCACCCAGCTACCCAAATCAGAATCCCCCACTCCCCACCTCCTGACTCTCCTCGGTCACCAGAGCCTGTCCATTCCATCTGCCAGAGGCGCCTCTGGTTCACTGTCCAGGCTAACCAAGGACTGTGCCCACATCCATCTACTCATGCCCCACCCCCAGCCTACTCTGGGCCAGCCACCGTGTGGCATCCCAAGGGAGGATTCTAAAATTCACATTCTCTCTTGCTCCAACCCTATGCTTCTAACCCCTCTATGGCATGCTGTTGCTCTTAAGTTTGAACCGCTGTGGCTTTCCTGGCACCCCCTTGAACAACCTCTTCTCTTTGCCAGCCAGCCTCATGACCTCCTGAGCTTAGAGAGGTCCTCACACATAGGAAGCACTTCATGAATATGAATGAATAGAAGCAGACATTTAAGAGAAGGGACTAGAAATGCAGAAACTAGAACAGGATTAAGAATGTATGTGCTATGCAATGTGAAACTAGAGCGTACATATTATGGGTTGCAATGAAAATTGTTAGAATTCTTTCAGAAAGCCATTTGAAAATATATATTAATACTTGTAACATTTTTCATACCTTTTGATTATCACGTCTCATATTCATTACAGAATTTTAGATCAGCAAAAAAGGAAGCCATCTAAATGTCTAATAGTTAACACACTGTGGTGTGTTATTTAATTTTTCACATGATATACATGAAGGTGTACAGCAATGTTTATGATGCAATGTTAGGTGAAAATTACAATATATCATTGTATCTTTACTATGGTTATAACTCTTAAAAATGAATGGATGTGGCTGAGTGCGGTGGCTTACACCTGTAATCCCAGCACCTTGGGAGGCTGAGATGGGTGGATCACAAGGTCAGGAGTTCAAGAGCAGCCTGGCCAATATGGTGAAAAACTGTCTCTACTGAAAATACAAAAATTAGCTGGGCGTGGTGACGCACGTCTGTAATCCCAGCTACTTGGGAGGCTGAGGCAGGAGAGTTGCTTGAACCTGGGAGGCAGAGGTTATAGTGAGCCAAGAACATGCCACTGCACTCCAGCCTGGGTGACAGAGCAGGACTTTGTCTCGGGGTGGGGGTAGTGGGTGGGGAAGAATAGATGTTTGTGTTCCTAGAAATTAATATTGAAAATAAAAATGGTTGTGATAAGGTAGTTGGGATTGGTAACACTGTTACCAGTTTTTTTATCCTGTATTGTTGTTACATTCAGTAAATACATTTTGTGTCTGACATGAACATGCCCACTCTCTGCTCTAACCTTGTCACATGTTCTTTGTGTGGTTAGGAATAGGTGCACCATCAAAAACTGCATGTGGAAAATAATGTTTCTCTCTTGTATCCAGTGGTTTCTGCACTGGAGCCACCGAGTTGAAATAAAATAGAGACGAGGAAACCTAAAGCTGAACAGACTATGGAGAGATAATGAGTTGAATGTCACTGTTATAAACCACTCTGCTCCCTGGCACCCCAGCTCCCCAGCTGGGGCTGCTCATTGCACCTGGCGTTCAGGGAGCGCCATTGTCCAAGCATATGCTGAAGCAGGAGTGCCACACTGCAGCCCTGCCCCAAACGTGGGGCCTTCTGGTTTAATCTCAGAAGTGTTATACTATACTTCTATTTCCTTGTTCCCATCCTTAGAGTATGTTTTTCTGCCCCAGATTCTTTGAGAATAAGTAGCCTACCCATGGGAGGTAAATGGTCTTCCTGCAACTCCCATTGTGGCCTGGGTCCACTGGCCACCTAACAGTCACAGAGGGCTTTCTCATCTGCAAGGCCTGTTCATGCACATGACCTTGGGCTGCTCACAGAGACCAAGTGGGAGACAAGTCCTCCCAGGTGTGCGGTGACATGAAGCTCAAGTGCAGTCCTAGGAGGGCCGTCCCCAGTGAGCATTTTCCCCTGTACTTGCCTCGCTCCCCTGTGGAAGGAATGCCACGGGAGGGGCCAGCCTTGGCTTTAGCCAGAAGTCCTTGCCCGTCCCTTTATGCCACGGTTGTAACTGCTGACATAAGCTGATGTTATGCTCTGTTGCCATTTTTCTTGTTTTTTTTGTGTTTTAATTTTTACTTTTGGGTGTGAGTCCTGCCAGTTAAATCTTAAATAATCATTTAAAATTCAAAACAGAAAAAATGCACGAAGTCAGCTTCCAGGATAAGGAGAAGGAACATCTGACGCGGTTGCAGGATGCGGAGGAAATGAAGGTGTGTGTGTCCGCCCCTTCCATCAAGCCCAGTGTGCGTGTGATGCATTTGGACTGGAAATGCTTATTTCAGGAAAATCTGTCACCTTTAGATCTGTGTATGGCAGTGTAGAGGGGAGGGGAGAGGGTCCATTGTTGGGTATTCAGAGTTGATCTCAGAGTGTGGCCTGGCTTAGAAAAGAACAGGTCCAGAGACCCCAAGATGTCTGTAGAGGATGGCTAAGTTGTGTTAATACCGTTGTCTTCCCCATTCCTGATGAAGAGGGAAAGGGTAGCACCCCAAATCACTGCATGGGCTCTTTTGTCAGAGTTAACATCTAAGAATTTCTTCCTCCAACCTTGATAAAGAACACACCAAATTTGAGTCTCTATCTTAAGCATAGAGATTTTTATTTTGGTCCCATTTTAAAGGGTAAAGGAAAATAGATTGGGAAGGAAGACTTTTAGGTGAATAAAATGAGACAGGAGAAGATGTAGGATTTTGATTAGTTGTAGGCAAACTATGAGCCTCACTAAGTCAAAGCCCACAGTTAAAGTGATGCCCACGGCATGTCCCTGCTCCAGCCAGCAGAATAAAGTCATGCCTTGTGTGAGTCCCTCTCCTGTTTTCAGAGTGCTGTGGCAGAAAGGTCTCCTTTGGACATCATCATAAATCTATGGTGGGAAGGGCAGGGGCTCTTATCTCAATTCACAGGTGAGGGGGTGCAGCTCACACAGGTTACAGGCTTGTCTGAGGTCACTTGGATAGGGAGAGGTTGGTGGCCTCTGACTGTCCTGGCTGGAGAAGCTCAGGGTGGGCTGGAGAAGGTCAAGGGAATGCTTTTTGTTTAGTTAGTGCACTAATTGGCTCCTAGGACCCATTTGGGTTTTGTTGTCCCAATAAAGCAAGGCTGGGTCCTGGGGGCACAAGAGCCAGGAATGCCCCCAGTTTTGGGATCTGACATCTGCGGGACACAGGGTAGTAGGCAGATGTGGATCCAGGGCTTGTCACAGAGTGGGCTGAGTGCCAGCGAGTGGATGACATGTTCTCTTGGCCTGGGCTGCAGAAGGCGCTGGAGCAGCAGATGGAGAGCCACCGGGAAGCACACCAGAAGCAGCTGTCCAGACTCCGAGACGAAATTGAGGAGAAGCAGAAAATCATTGATGAAATTAGGGAGTGAGTTGTCCCAGGGCTCCATGGGCGTGGGGTGGTCATGCCTTGATTCTCTTAGGGCATCCTGGAAGGACATGGCTTTTAGCCAAGGGCCCTGCTCACCTTGCCCCATGGGCACTGCCCTGGTGACACAGCAGGCTGGGCGTGCTGCTTCCAAGGTCTGTTCTCCCATCTGGAGCTGAGCCTGGCATGGCAGGTGGAAGGCAGGCCCAGCTGCCTTTCCTAGTCCCCTAGGGCCAGGGTCACATAGGTAACTCCACTGGATGGATGCATGCCCCAGTAGATGTGGGTAGTGCCTGTAATGAAAGCACCAAAAAAAAAAACAAAAACAAAAAAAAACTGGTCCTGACTCCAGAGCTCTGGTAGGTTTATAAACACTCCTGAGAAGGCAGTCAAGCGCCACTGCCTCCCCTTCTCCCCTACACATACACGCTCACTGCGCCACCCCAGACACCTGGTTCCATGTGCCCACTTCTTAGGGCCCCATGCTGTCAGGTGTCTGTGCAGGCGGAGGTGCCAGTGACCTGTGCACTGCCACCAGGACGGCATCATTGCAGTTTGTGACATCGTGACACCCCCTCATGCTGTGCTCCTGTCTTGTCTGGCGGCCTCTGACATGGCCTCTGCTCCTTCAGAATAATGTTTTCGAGTGCTCTAAATAAAAGACCCAGGATTACAAAGAAAACCAATTATATTGAAATGCTGACCTCTCCGCCCCCACCCCACCCAGGATCTTCACTGTTCCCTCCCCTCTTGCTTCCTGTCGACGAAGAAACATTTCTATATGGGAAGCAAGGTGAAATGATTTACATAAGGTCACATTGCTAAATAGGAAATCAGATTGGAGTTAGACTTTAATTCTCCAGACTACTGATCCAAGTCCCTTTTCAATGTGTGTGAGCCGCTGGAAAGGAGCATTTGCATTTTAAAAGAAGAGATTGGTAACCCAAGCAAAAGTCTAAATGGTGTGACCCAGGCTGGGTGCCCAGTCCCAGAAGGAAAGCACTTAGTCTCCTCCCTCCGTTTCTCCTTCCAGGCCACTCACCTTCTGTTGCCAAGTTATGCTTTCCCATTCAGGGATGTCTCGTGTTCATTATTCTGATTAATCACCCTCATGTATTCACCCGGAAGGGAGGGGGAAGATGGGTTGGTGAGTGAGTTAGGAGGTAGGGGAGCTTCCTAGGCCTGTGCCTTTCAAATGGACTCTGGGCTTTCCTTCTGGTAGTGCATAACTGCTCCTTCACACATGCTTGGTTGTGGCTCTAGGAAAGGTTTTATGAGTCCTGGGCTGATGTAAATGTTGACCAAACACCCTCAACCAGATGGAAAGTTTCTGTCTGCAGCAGAGCCCAGGCTGCCTTCTCTTCATAATTCCTCTCTCTGTACCCACTCCTCGAGGGCAGGAACTGTGCCTGTACCAGTGAGGCATTTGGACTTGGGAGATATTTTTAGAACATCAGACCAGAAAGGAAGGAAGGTGGAAACGGCCAAATGAGATTGCCCGAGTGAGTGCATGCCGTCGGAGGGACCGAGGGAGCAGAATTCTTCAGACATGGGTTCTCTGTTTTAAAATATCAGCCCTTCTCCCTTCTCATATTTTTCCCCTGAAGCTCTTGCACAAGCAAGCTATAAATACATCCTCAAAGCCTTATGTTTCATGCCTCTTAGATGCACCCCAGAAATTAGTTTTCACTTGGGCAGGGAGGAAGCTGTGTGGCTGTTCTCTGATCCCTCCAAATCCTGCAGAATTATTGCTTTTATTGTACAGACCTAATGGGGTTGGAACAGAACCACGGTTTTAGCTGGATGACTCAGAATTTCAGACTGATGTGGAATATATTGCTTTTTCCTCTCAATTTCAGTTTGAATCAGAAACTGCAACTGGAACAGGAGAAGCTCAGTTCTGATTATAACAAGCTGAAAATAGAGGACCAAGAGAGAGAAATGAAACTGGAAAAGCTCTTGTGAGTGCACTCTAAATATTTCCTCTATTTTCTCTCATCCCTGTGATATTCTGGTTAGATTGGGCTAATTTAAAAACAGACAATGGCTATTTGTGTGCTTGTTGGTTGGTTTTGTTGATTTATCTGTGGATGCAAATAGTATCTGCTGAAACCTCTGAGTCCCCTCTGGTGATCTATGTTTTTTTTTTTTTTCAGATTGCTGAATGATAAAAGGGAACAAGCCAGAGAAGACCTCAAAGGGCTGGAGGAGACAGTGGTATGTCAAGATGTTTCCCAATTTATTTTTCTCTCCAAGACCGGGTTCGTTTGTGATTTGTCAGATTGTTTATTCCAAAATTTTATCCATGCACAGCTTTCTGTGTAATATTTTAGATAAGACATTCTGTGGAAAAGTAGGATTTGTAGAATTTATTCCTCAACTCTTCACAGAATCAACCAACCAATCCATTCATCCTTAGAGCAGTAACCTGGAGCCCCAGAGTGAGAATTAAGCTGAATTGCAACTCAGCAATTTTACAGCCCTGCACTTTGTGACATACTTCCACTCGACATTCAACAGATATTTATTGAGCGTCTCCTAAGGGCTGGCATTCTCCAAGGTGCTTGAATATACCCATAAACAACAGCAATAAGATCCCTGCCCTCGTGAAGCTTACCTTTAGCTGGGAGAGACGATAAACAATAAGGAAGCAAATCTTGAACTCTATCAAAACATGCGTAGGGTGCTGACCAGGGGAGGCTCCCTCAGCATGTGACCTTTTAGCAGGGACTCGAAGCAGGAGAAGTGAGCCATGAGATGTGTGGGGGACAGCATTCCAGGCAGAGGCAACAGCTTATGCCAAGGTCTGGAGACAAGCCCCGCACTGTCAGGACTGTCATGTTGGGGGCAGGCAGGGAAGTCTGTGTGGCAGCAGCTGAGGGAGGGACACAGATACAAGGTGAGCAAGGTAGAGCCTGCAGTGATGCAGGCCAGGTAAAACCTTGAGTCCGGCAGGGCTTTGGGTGGAGTAGTGACAGGCCTGCCTTACCTTTGGAAGGGCTAGTTATTTGAAATGTTGGCTGTTTTTCTCTGTCCTGTGTCTGGGTTCGTTGGCATCATCTCCTCTGGTCGGCTTCCATTTCAGCTGCTCTGTGGGGTAGCTGCCTGGCTCCATGCCCCACAGCCTGCGCTTTGAGACAGACCATTCCAACATAGCCTCTCCATTTGGTGAAAACACATTCAGACATTTCACATGATTCAACAACAGAGAGAAACTGTTGTTTAGATACAGTCATCCATTTTGGCTCGGTTCATGTGTCATGTGGATCTGTGAGGGACTGAGCCGTCTCCAAGGACCTGGTGACCCCACACTGGTGGCAGTCGGTTGCTTGAGTCTGGCCCTGAGACTGTGCCTTGGCCCTTGGACTAGTAGTATTTGTTGCACCTCGAAGCCAGGGAGAGGAAATGCGGGCACCAGCCATTGGTGACAGAAGATGCCTGTGTCCAAAGGAAAGTGGGTCTTTTGAGTATGGAGGAGGAGCTTGTGGAGGGAGCCGGCAAGGGAACCTGAAACGAAGCCATAAAATTGCTTTATCTACATCTGTTTTACCAGAGAAGTGATAATCCTCATTATAGATAATTATAGAAATTCAGAAAAATATTGAACATTACAATTTCACTATATTTCCACCAGCCAGAGATCCCTGATATCAATGAAATATTTTTGGATGCTTTCTTCGTTCATACCTGTGAGTTCTCAGGCACTCTTACCCCACTGTCCCTACCCATCCATGCCCTCTTTCAGTCTCACTCACACCTACAACTCAAGGCACACGAGCACATCACACACTCACACAGGGACTCAAAGGCCCTTGCCCACACACACAGTCAGCCGCTCACCCTCAGGCCCTCATGCCTCTGCTCAGTCTCACTCACTCCTGCATGCGTCTCCACACATGAGCACTTACAACACACAGGACATGCACACTTGCCTGCACACACACAACTTGCATGCACACTAGCAATCGTCCACACCTCCTCACTGGCACATTCACACACACAACACTCGTGCAGTCGCTCACCCTCACTCCCCTTGCTTGCCTTCACTCACACCCCCACCCATATTCACACTCCCTTGTACATCTTGCACAGATGCTCTCTCGGGACACTCCCCCTCGCACGCACACAGGTGCGTTTGCACACGCCACCCTCGTGCTCTTGTTCACCCTCACACCCACCTTCGCTTACACGCACACACATTTCCATGCTCACGGACTCTCATGCTTTCTGCTCTCATACCCTCAGGAGTGTGATATTTAAAGAACGTTTTATCAGCTCTTTTGCCTTTTTTGAAGTTCGAGTGGTCTTTTGCGTCTTTCGAATGACGTATTTTCCTCACTAGCTCCTCTCATCTCCCTGCCTGTCCGCTGTCCATCCCACGCTGGGCACAGTTCCACGGGCACCCTCGCCCGGCCGTGCACGTGGACAGACCCACTGGCTTCGTGGCACTCAGATTCGCTCCCTCAATCTCACTTGCCACCCACACGCGTCGCATGCACACTTTTAAGATCCAAGATTGGAGCCCTGCACTGTATGCTGTTTTAGACTCGGATGTTTTCACTCAGCCTTGGAATTCTCCCCGAGTCGTAAATGTTCTTCAGAAATAGACGAGCTGTCCTTGGCTGACTGCTCTGCCGCCCTCCTCGGCGCAGGGACTGTTCTGCCTCTGGGAGTGTTTGGGTGGGGTGGGTGGGGCATGGAACCTGCTGGCCAGGGGGTGAATGCCTGGGACACCCGTTCCAGGGGACAGTGGTGGAAAAGGCCCACTAGCCATCTGGGCATCCCTGGGCCCCGGGCAGTGGACTCGCTGGAACTGGTCACTGTCTGGGCTTTGGGGCAGGAGCCCTCTGGCTGCATTGATGGGACTTGTATTCCCTCCTTGCTAGTCCCGCCCTTGCTGTCCACTGTGACAGGGAGCTGAGCCTTGAGCTTTGGCATGGAGGGTGGCAACCTGTGATGTGAACAGGAAGCACATGGAGAGCCGGAGGGATGATCATGAGTGTGATGGAGGGAAAAAAATATATAATTGCCACAGGAGGCCGAACGATAGTTGCCTAAGCACAGTGTGCATAAATAAAAAAGACAAGTGATTTTTAAATGTTTTATACTATCCTTCCCGAACTGTTTATCATTGAATCCACCTTAAAACAGACAACAATGAGAGAAAGTTGCCAAACTCAGGACACTATATTTGGTATTTATTTGCCAGGAAATGCCTGGCCCTTGGACAGAGCACTGTTCTCATTCTATCTTCTGTTTTCATTCCCCTTTGGTGTGGTAGTGTTTTCATGCAAAATGTGAACTGTGATTACAGTTCAATCAGTAATAAAACCACTGACGAGAGAGCGAGAGTGAGAGCAAGACAACAAGAGAGAGAGCATGAGAGAGCATGCAGGGCGGGCGCAGGTGTTAAGAAGCAGGGTATCCGGGCTGAGCTCCCTCCGGCAGGGCCTGGGACAGTGTGTCTGCAACACAGTGAGTGCTGCACCCCTGCCCCTGGGCTGGAAGGTGGCACAGCCTCAGACAGGTCCTATGTGCACATTATTCATAATCACAGATCCATTTGGTTTCCTGCAGAAAGTAATTACCTCATCCGAAGACACAATTGACTTCAAGTCCTTATTTCAACATAGAATTGGACCCAGTAATAAGACCTTAAATAAAGAGAGAATCTTTATTGCAAGAAACTTAGTGTTTCCATAGCCTTATACTCTGTTTCTTCCTTTTAGATGTGAGCATGTGTGAGTTGCGTCCCTTGAAATTCTGTGTTAGAGTAGGTCAATTTAGACAAATGGAAAAGTTTGCATGCAGAATTTAGCTCTCTCCTCTTCCTTTATGGGAAAATATTTTGCAAGAAGCTTATCATATCTCCTATAGTAAATACATGGAGACTTGAACCTAAGGAAATATTTGATCTTCCGATCTTGTTACCAAAGATCACCAGATTTGGCTCAGCCTCTTGTCTCAGTAATGTAATTCCTAAAGGTTCGTTTGTAGAAAATAATCCAAAATGAAGGAGAAAAATGCCCCCAAGAAGTTAAATACAGTGAAAGTTTTAACAACAATAAAAGGAAGCACTACAAGCCTAAGGAAGAAATGGCTTTTATGATATGAAATATGCATCAATAAATTCATACCAGTCATGTTTACTGAGCACTTAATATGTGCCAGCAAATGTTCTAAGAGCATGATAAGGTTCACCTCATTTAATCTTGACAGCAATGATGAGGGAACCACTGTTTTTATTCTCATGTTACCAATAAGAAAACTGAGGCACAGAAAGGTGAGCTAGCTTGCCCAGGGCCACCCAGGAGGAAAGTCCACAAAATGCTTCATCCGTAAGCTCAGTCCTGGAAAGCAAACAAGCGTATGGACTTGCACCTGAAGCCTGTGAGGAAACATGAAAAATGCCAGTCCGTTAGGGTGAGATATTGTGGCTAACTTTTCATTTAAGCTTATTGGTATTACATTGTAACATTTACGTAATAAAGAAAAAAGGAATCTATTCTGATACAACATGGCCCAGTAAGAATGTTTCAGAGGAAACCTTTGGATTTTTGTGGGTGAGGCCATGTATGGTTCCCTTGTGAGTAGAGCAGATCAGTAGAGTTTGTTACTAGTTTACAGTTTGTGGTCTGGGTTCTCAGGCTCTGCATTTCAAGGTGCTCCAGTAACAACACTGGGTCCAGGGGTGGGCATGGTAGGGGGGCATCACAGAAAAGGGGATGCACCAGCAGCGTCCATGGCGGGCTTGGGAAGTGTCCATGCAGGAGTCTGGGGAAATGATCTGGTGCCCGGTGTGCTGTCAATTCTGTGAATTTGTACACTGAAGTGGCCTTTAAAAATCTTCTCTTCCAGTCTCGAGAATTGCAGACGCTTCACAACCTTCGGAAACTCTTTGTCCAGGATCTGACCACCCGAGTTAAAAAAGTGAGTTCTCTTTTGTCTGAATGGGACTGAGAAGAAAATCAAAGATGGCTGGGAAGAATTATTTTCAGCAGAAATATCACTTGCTTAAGTCAGGGCTGGTTATGCTTAAAAATTAATTACTTCACACCAGAGAATATTATTAAAAGAACGTGCTGGAGGCAAAACATACTTGGGAACATTTTCCCATCTGATTTTTCCCTCTTAGTAAAAGGAAGTCAGAATGCTTTCCCTGGCCTTCATTTCAGATGAGCACATATTTTTTCTGGCCTCCAGTGCGTGAGGGCAACTGCTCTTGACACAGAAACATTTAGAGCAGTCTTTTCAGAAAGCATTGCCTGGAAGCCTGGAGAAGTTGGACCAAGAGAGCCTCTTACTTGTTTGTTAAGAGGCCATTAGGGGCTAGGTCAGAGTTTATGAAGCACTTCAACTCCAATATTTTATTTGCTTTTCCCAGCAATTATGTAAGTGGTGCTTAGTGTTCCTGTTTTTGCAGATGTGGAGGTAGGCTCAGATGTTAAATAACTTACCCAATATTGCACTGGTGGGAAGAGCCAGAGATGGGTCTGGAACCCAGGGTCTCTGGATCTGAGCTTTTCTGGTCCTCATGCTACACCAGCAATCTGGAGACACTCTATAACGGTGACTCCCCCAGGAAGCTTGCAGAGGTTTAAGGAAGGAGTGGGAGGTGAAGGCAGCAAGAGGACTACTCTTTCAAAGTGTTTAAAAGTGATGGATGCAACACACTGGGCCATGTGTAGAGGGACGGTAGGATTGAAGGAAGGTCTGTTTAAGAAAAGTGTGCATATGTGTGCAAATGTGTGTGCATATTTGTGTGTGCACATATGTGTGACTGTATCCGTGTGAAGGAGCCAAGGGAAAGAGATCAAATGCCTGGCGAAGATGGAGTCGGTTCTGAGGGAGAGGGTTAATAGTGTAGACAGATGTATTAGGTAGGCGTGGTAAGGAGGAGGGACACAGATTCTTAGAGGGTAGGAGGAGGGAAGTCAAGTTGGAAGGATAGGCCGGGAAATACATGAGGGTGGAAAGAAGTCACATTTGATGACTTGGGTCTTCTTGGTTTATATGGAAGCTCAGTCCTTGGTGGGAAAGTAGGGAAGAGAATGGGAAGCCTAAGAAGACTAGAACACAGTTCAGGCAGTGGAGGAGGGGCCGTGCTATGGAAGAGGAGAAGGGTCGCCGAGCAGTGGTGTTGGTGCTGAGTCAGAAGCCTGGGTTTGGCATGGCCCCTGACAGCATGGTTCAAGCGAGTTTAGAATTCTGGGAAAGAAAATAAAGAAGGCAGAGAACGCTGGGCAATTTCAAGGCCTGCATGGCAACTGCTAGGCAAGTACATGGTGAGCACGATCCAAAATACAAATGACCATGGGGGCCTGGACCAGACGGGAGAGTGAAGCCAGAGCAAAGTGATGGACAGGGAGACTAGACGGGGAGGGCACCTGGCCAGAGCTTATGATGTGGGTTGAAAAGGTTCAGTCTGAGGAAGGTGGTGGAAGCCATGACCATACATAGGAGGCCCTGGTCTCAGGGAGGGTTAGGAGCTTGAGATCAGACTTCCAGATTTTGTGATAAAAAATCTCTCTAGGAAAGCCCTGCTTTTAGACCAGTAGTTTTCTACGGGTGGTTCTCTGGCCATCGGCCTCGGCATCACCTAGGAAACTGTTTACATATGCAAAGTCTCGTACTCTACCCTAGATCCACTGAATCAGAGACTAGGGCTGGGGCGTGGCAATCTAAGTCTCAATAAACCCTCCCCTGGGGAGCCTGGTGCTAAGGCTTAAGTTTGGGGAGCTCAGTTTTAGACTGAAGAGCTGCAGGTTTGAGATGCTCATGTAGCAATTACCTTTCAGAAAAAGGATGATGATCTCTTTTGTAATCAGAGCAAACATGCTTTGCCACCTTGGAACACCGGGATGTATTTGCACCTGTACTTTCCAACTTATCTGTGCCACTTGGCTTGCCAGGAGTGCAGTGTTTTGCCAATTTCAAGATCTGATAAATTTCAAGAATTTACCCAGCACAAGGATGCTGTGATTAATTTGGGTTGATTCACTAATGAATTTTATAGATTTGGAAGCTGAAGGGACAAGCAGAGGCCATTAAGACTTCTCAGTGGGATCGCAGACACTTGCTTACAAGCTTGGTGACTTGTTATCCCATCATGATGGCTGAAGTAAAATTTAGGTCTTGGGTTTATGTTTTCCTGGTTGTTGTTTCTCAATGAGTTTTGGAATGCTTTCTTTTGAAAAGAAGTCTCTATTTACTACATGCAAGGGAGAGGTGTATTTTACTGAAGATACATCATCTGTAACTTTCTTTTTGAGACAAGAGTTTTGCTCTTGTTGCTCAACCTGGAGTGCAATGGTGCGACCTCAGCTCACTGCAACCTCCACCTCCTGGGTTCAAGAGATTCTCCTGCCTCAGCCTCCCAAGTACCTGGGGGATTACAGGCATGCGCCACGACACCGGCTAATTTTGTATGTTTTTTTTTTTTTTTCTAGTAGAGATGGGGTTTCTCCATGTTGGTCAGGCTGGTCTCAAACTCCTAACCTCATGTGATCTGCCCGCCTCGGCCTCCCAAAGTGCTGGGATTACAGGCATGAGCCAATGCACCTGGCCTCATCTGTAACTTTCAAAAGCAGATTTGAAGTTTTTTTTTTTCTAGTTGTCTAAAAAATAGCTCCTCCTCAAATCATTTTTTGTACTAATAAGGGAAATTAATTGGGGGGTTTGTTGAGTCTGAACTTTTAGAACCTCTCGATTTTTGCTTTCAGAATACCCTTTGGTGGGAATGGGGATTTTTTTTTTTCGTCCACATTATCCTGGGATGGAGGGTGGGCGGGTGACAGCCTGTCCTTCTGACCTCTTGGTGTTGGTGCAGAGTGTGGAGTTGGACAGCGATGATGGAGGGGGCAGTGCCGCCCAGAAGCAGAAAATTTCCTTTTTGGAGAATAACCTGGAGCAGCTCACCAAGGTTCACAAGCAGGTAGGAGAGTTCCACCTGCTCCCCTCTGCTTACCCCCTCTCTCCTGGAAACAAGCCCCACCAGGTTTGGCCCCGGGGTGCAGACGATGCTGAGATTGAAGGTAAAAGAACTGTACGCCATCAGAGGACATAACGGCTACAAAGGTTCCCTACAAATCCTTTAGTTCTCAGTGACTTCTCTTATATATAAAGGACTTTCTTTTATCAAAGCCAAATGTAAAGTATTGGGTTTGAGCTCTCTGGGGTTGGAGAGGGAAGTGTTCAGAGGCCTGTCCTTTCATCCTGCCTCCCCCCCTGACTTTGGACACCAACTAGCTTCTGTATCTAGCTCTGAGGTACCTCTGTGGACCTGAAGGCTCCACAGAAGGCAAAGTGGACACCACTGAGCTGGTTCAAGTCCTTTATTTTTACATAAGGGGAAACAGACTGGTGCCTTGCTTCATTGCACGGTGGGAGGACTGGGACTGGAACCAGCACCCTCTCCGCTCAGCTGCCCGTTCCTAGTGCTCTCAGACGCTCTCTCGGATGCCTGCGATGCGCTGGCATTTGTCTAGAGTGACAGAGAGTGATAACTGTGTCCAAACCCATCAGTGATTTTGGCAGGTCATTTGTCTTGGATACTTTCCGTTTATACGTTGGTGTGTGCCTGGCTGTTTTCCCTTTTTAGGACTTGGGTTGTGACGGAAACGGCCCAAGTTTTTGAACCACATGACTGAGGAGTTGTCATTTCTGTTTGAATTGTTAAGTCTTCATCAATATTATTGATGATGGTATTTTGTTTTACCCAGACGGAGGATGATAGTGTCAAGATGGTTGAAGCCATTCAACCAAATTGTTGATGAGAAATACAAAAGCAAAAACTACCAGAGAGCTTGAAATAGGGCTCTGAGATGCATGTTTTTTTTTTTTTTTTTTTTTTTTTTTTGACAGTCTTGCTCTGTCACCCAGGCTGGAGTGCAATGGTATGATCTCCACTTACCACAACCTCCGCCTCCTGGGTTCAGGTGATTCTTCTGCCTCAGCCTTCTGAGTAGCTGGGATTATAGGCATGTGACACTACTCCCAGCTAATTTTTTGTATTTTTAGTAGAGACTGGGTTTCACCATGTTGACCGGGCTGGTCTTGAACTCCTGACCTCGTGATTTGCCCGCCTCTGCCTCCCAAAGTGCTGGGAGTACAGGCCTGAGCCATCGTGCCTGGCCAAGATGCGTTATTTTATTCATGGATTGAATGAACATTTATTAAGAACCTACTCTCTGCCAGGCACTAGAGCTGGTGCTTGGAGAACAAAGCAGGAGACCCAGCAGAAGCTCACTTTGCTGTAGCACTTTCTGATTCTCAAAACTTTCTCCAACCACCTGGATCCCCTGTTATACAGTAGACTTGTGTTATGGATGAGAAACTTGAGGCTTGTGGTCAAATGACTTATACCAAGTCAGATGGCCAGGAGCCCACTAAAGAGCGCCCATAAATAGCTGGCCCTTGAGCCCACTCCTGCCTAGAGCTGGCCTGTTTCTTCAGTCAGCAAAAAGGCGCCGTCTCCTCCTCTTACCTCTTGGCCTCTGGATATGTTGTGAAGCTGGGTCCCAACCCCATGCCAGTGTAAGCAGCAGGTCCTGCGTGGAAGGAAGCCCTCTGAGAGCTCAGGAACATGCTTGTTTTTCACTGAGTCCTTTTGAACCGGCTTTAAGTGTCTCAGCTTTCTCATGCTAATTTACTATTCTCATACATGGTCAATTTTCTCACACAATTCCCCTTTCCCCTGCATACACCCAAACAAAAGGGGAGGAAAATCTTGCCTCAGACCGAAGGTTTCCTGTGGTGGGAAATAGCTTTTAATTGTATCCCCACCAGCCCCATTCCTTGCACCCGTGAATCACGTGTTCAGCAGCCCAGAGTCCACAGTCTGAGTTTTCCTTTCCTTTCTATGGTTGTATGGTGTTTCAAAGACGACCTAGCGGGGGCCGCCTGCTCAGCCGCAGGGGCTGCTTCTGGCTGCTCCGGTTTGCACCGCGCAGCCTGCCTGGTAACTCTCTGCCTTTCCCCTCCTGCGGCCCCAGCTGGTTCGGGACAACGCAGACCTGCGCTGTGAACTGCCCAAGCTGGAGAAGCGGCTGCGCGCCACGGCCGAGCGTGTCAAGGCGCTGGAGAGCGCGCTGAAGGAGGCCAAGGAGAACGCCATGCGGGACCGCAAGCGCTACCAGCAGGAGGTGGATCGCATCAAGGAGGCTGTGCGGGCCAAGAACATGGCCAGGAGGGCCCATTCAGCCCAGATCGGTACGTGCGTGCGCCGTGGTGCCTGGGGCTTGAGAAGCTGCTGCGGCCTCCCAGCTAAGATTTGCTAAAAGATCAAGAGAACGCAGCCCTGTAGGACGCAGCCCTGACCGCACCCTGTTCCCCTCCCCGCCCCCTCCCACCCCACCCCCGGGGGAATGGGATTGTCAGACACCCCCATTATTCTACTCTGAGATATTCCAGCATACTTTGTGGCCTCAAAACTTCTGAGCTGGGCAGAGAGAAGGCAGCCAGGGTTATAGGCCTAGGTCTTGGGCTATAAATATGTATACTCTTAGATAAAATACTGGAATAGGAGGATATTTCTCTGTAAGGTGTGAAGGGCCCCTGTGTTCTGCACCTGGTGGGGCCATGAAGGAGCCTGTATGTAGCCAGAGCCCCAGGGAAAGCCTCCAAGTGCAGATCTGGAAATACCCCGGGAAGAGCCAGGCTGGCATCGGTGATGGGGCGTGGCTACAGGCTGGCACAGAGCTTGGGGAGGTCTAGAGTCTCAGGTCCTTCAAGACCTGTATGGATTTGGGCATTTCGCCCGTGTAGGAAATGTGGGTGTAGCCAGAGTAGTAGTTCCCAGGATAGAGCCATAGGGATAAAAACAACTTCGGGATTTTCTCTAAATTTATCCTTTAATTTTTTTGTTTAACTGAAACATCTCCAATAACGTGTAATTTATTTCCCATCAGGTATTGCTGTACGGATATATTGTAAACCAGCAGCTTCATGTTTCTAGTTTTAAATCATACCTTAGATTAGTGGTTCAACGCATTTGCAGGATTTCATACCCTTTGCGAATCTATTAAAAGCTATGGACCCTCTCCCCAGAAAATAGCATCACAGGCAGAATTGCATCCAATTTCAGGGGCTACACAGATGCCCTTGACGGTCATGGGAACCGATGATCTGTTTCAGATAAAACTGAAAATCTTTTTTCCTACCTTTTCTTGGCCAAAATTAGAAACGAGCTGATTGATGTATAATTTCTTTCTGTCCCTTAAATATTTGGATGCCTTGGATTTGCTAACTATACTGATAGTTTTCCCATTTTCAGAAAGATCTGATGGTTGGTAAGAATTGTACTGTTGATAAGACTTGTGAATTTTATTTGTCACAGGTGACCTGTAGGTATCTGGTTGCTGTAAGCCTAAATGTTTGTTCTCTCTTCTTTCCGCTGGTTGGATACAGCCAAGCCCATCCGGCCCGGACACTACCCAGCCTCATCTCCAACGGCTGTCCATGCCATTCGAGGGGGAGGAGGCAGCTCTTCAAACTCCACTCACTACCAGAAATAAATACTAAGTGAGTCCCATGTCAAGGGTGGTTTATCTATCTGGAGGCAGAGCCTTCTTGCATTTCCAAAGCCCCTGCCTGACAGTGGACCTTCAGTAGAGAGCAGTTCAGCCTTACTCCAGCACAGGCCCTGAGGGTCCCAGGTAAACAGAGACCTGGACTTACCCTCACTCAGTTGAGAGCCCTGGGGTCTTCTAGCTGAGGCTACCTGGGGCCCATGGGACCTGGACCCAGGCCTGGCCCAGTCCCCTCCAGTGGTAGGTGTGCTGAGTGGTTCAGCTTAGCTTTGTTTTGCCAATGGGACTCCCTTCTATAGTTGGCATCCCAAAGGGCATTACCTGTTGGTCAACTGCTTTAACCCAGAGCAGACAGAAGTTGGGTGTTGCTTTAAGTCTCAGCAACAGAATATAAAGAAAGAGCCAGATAATAGAAAGTGATGTTTTTATGTTTACTATCTGAACTCAATAAGTGGGGGTTTAAGGAATATATCTAGGTGGGTCCAGAGTGCTTTTTTCTTTGAGATGGTGGTCTGCCAGCTTCTCTGCCCGAAGCCCACATGCCTGACATTGCTCTCCCAGCAAAAAGAAAAGGAACAAGTGATATGCTTTACAAAAGAGAAGAAAGAGAGAGTGAAAACCGTTCTTTATGATGTAAATGGAGAAAAGAGGCTACTAGTTGGGCAGGCAGACAAATGACTAGGTGACCAGAAAACTTTGTTTAGAAAAATTCTGACTTTGAACATGCAGATGGGAAGAGATGTCTCTGGACATTGTCCTTGGACTGTAAGCCTTTGCTAGGGCAGCTGGCTCCCAACGCATGCAAGCATGCCTGGTGTGAAGGCTGGACTTTTCCTTATCCATCCCTTTTTGCCTCAAGGCAAGAAGGCCAGCAGGAGAGGCTGGAGCCATCACTTTGGGTCTGGGTATGGCTCAGGCTTAGGCTAAAACATCCAAGGGAAATGCTTTGGTGACTGCTCCCACACAACTTTCACCTGTGCTGCCCCAGGCAGTGCCAAGGAGCAGGCCAGGGGCTGGTCAGAGTAGCAGGAACAGGAGGGAAGGTGGAGGCAGCCCTCGGGCCGGGAGTGTGTCTGCCAGCATCTGCCGTCTTCCAGACAGGAAGATGGGAAATGGTCTTGGCAGTGGGCCACCCCATTCATATCTAATCTCTGCTTCCAATCAGAAGTAGAATGAAACTGGAAGTTAGAAAGTTGCTTTTGACTACATGTTGTCAGTATCGAGGCTGATACCTGAAGGGAACTCTAAGATCCAGCTGGGCAGCTTAGAACAGAAAAGCCTGAAGCAGTGGTCCTCGAACTTTGGTGGATGTGAGCATCCTCGAGCACCCAGAGTCCCAGGCTCCTTAGGGGAGGAAGGGCCTGGCTTTGTTTGTTGTTTCAACCAAGTATTCCAGGTGATTCTGATATTTGTCAAAGTTTGAGAACTCACCATGGTTTATACAGGATGGTAGTTTATTTCTGTCTTGTGTCCAGGAAATTTGAAGGTGGTGTGTCAGTAGCTGAGCATCTCCACAGTGATAACAGAAACCTAGCTTCTTAACTAGGTTAAGCAAGTGCCTGCCTCCTGAGCTCAAGGCCAGCCAAGGTCACCAAATGACTTCAGTTTCAGCCATCATGCCTATATTCCAAGTTTAGCAACCAGAGAAGAAGGAGAGGAGAGGCGAAAGCAGCCATCCTGAATGAATCCCTTTAAGTAGCTTTCCTGAAGCCCCATGCAATGCTGACACCTCCCTTTCTTTGGGCAGCCCTGAGCCACATGGCCACATCTAGCTGGAAAAGGTAGTCTTTTAGCAGGGCACTTCACTACCCCAAAGAAGGGTAATGCTCTTTGAGCGAGGAGAGGGTGAGTGGAGGTTGGGTGGGCAGCTGGCACACTGTGCATTATAGATCACCTGATATGCGCAGCATTGGGCTAGATATAATACAGGCCTTACCTCATCAGATGAAAGCACACAGAGAGATGTGTTGGTATGGTTCCCAACAAGACCTTACTAAATATACTGGTCCAGGGATTCTGGGCTCCAGAGATTATGCAATGGGACAGTCATCTTCTTCAAGGATTCCAACAAAGGTCTGCCAGTCCCATATTTTGTGTCGGCTCCAAACAACCAAATCCTGGTCGTTCATCACCAGTGTAGCCTCTTCTCATACTGAGCATGAAAATCAGTAGGTCTGGTGGACTTTCAAGACCCTCGAAGTGGCAGAACCACCCTCACCCATTATGGCAGTTATTTATTTTTTTAATTTTACTTTAAGTTCTGGGATATATGTGCTGCATGTGCAGGTTTGTTACATAGATACATGTGCCATGATGGTTTACTGCACCTGTCGACCCATCATCTTTTTGAGATGGAGTTTTGCTGTTGTCACCCAGGCTGGAGTGCAATGGCATGATCTCGGCTCACTGCAACCTCTGCCACCTGGGTTCAAACGATTCTCCTGCTTCAGCCTCCCGAGTAGCTGGGATTACAGGCATGCTCCACCACACCCAGCTAATTTTTGCATTTTTAGTAGAGACGGGGTTTTACCATGTTGTCCAGGTTGGTCTTGAACTCCTGACCTCAAGTGATCCGCCCACCTCAGCTTCCCAGCATTGGACAAGGGACCTGGGTTCAGGTGTCAGGTTTTCTGTTTCCTTCAAGTTACTTAACCTCAGAGTCTGTTTCCTCATCTATGAAATGGGGAGAATCTTTTATCATGGTCATTGGCATTGACAGAAGGTTTAAATGAGGTCATGCTTCTAAGCACATGACAATTGCTCAATAAAAATGTTAACTGCTAGTATAGAGAAGCGCTGTAGAATATGGTAGTTGACAAAAGTTGGTTTACAGTGTCCTTTAATTCACATAGTTGTTACCAAATGGTTTTTAGTCCCTCTATAGCAATAAATCCTGGCCACTGAGTGGGGAAGGCCCATGTCCAACTGAGTATCCTGTTTGTTACTATGAGCTGATATAAGGGCTTTTAAAGATATTACTGGCTGGGCAGAGTGGCTCATGCCTGTAATCCCAGCACTTCGGGAAGCTGAGGCAGGTGGATCACTTGAGGTCAGGAGTTCAAAACCAACCTGACCAATACAGTAAAACCCCTTCCCTACTAAAAACAGAAACATTAGCTGGGTGTGTAGGTACACGCCTATAACCCTAGCTACTTGGGAGGCTGAGGCAGGAGAATCGCTTGAACCCAGGAGGTGGAGGTTGCAGTGAGCTGCGATTGTGCCACTGCACTCCAGCCTGGGTGACAAAGTGAGAGCCTGTCGAGCCTGTCTCAAATATATATATAAAGAGAATTTATCTACAAGCTACAACTATTTTAAAGAAATGACTGGGCATTTGTTAGTGGAGATTAAAAATAGGTAGTAATCCACAGATTCAGGAATTACAATTGAATGGTAAAGAAATATTAAATCATTTCTGAAAATTAATTGGAACTGCAGAACTCATTGCTTAGATGAGATCAAAGCCTTTTTGAGACAGTCTTTCCTGACCTTTGGAATTTTCGTTCTGAAGTCTCTCTTCCCTGGGTGGAAATGATCTCAGTTGACTCTTCCCAGCCCTCCTGTTGGAGTCAGAGCACATATTCTTGCAGCTGGATATCTTTGGAATTTCCTTCTGCTTCATTTCAGGGTCCAAGAATTATAGCCATAATGAGTATTTTGGTTTATCCTCAAGGTTTCAGAGCCACTGAAGGTGCCAATGTACAAAAATCAAAAGAACCCAGGATAATGCTGGCTTTGATCTTATCTAGTTCAAATCCACAGGGGCTGCCTCAGGAGAAGGAGATGATCTTTTTCAAACCTCAGACCTACATATGGGTCAGTGTAGTGCAACCACATGACATTGGGCAAGTTGCTTGATTTCTTTCAGCTTCAGTTTTTCTCACCTGCCAAGTGGGATCTGGCATCGAGGGCCTGGCTCTGTACTTGGTTTCACAGTGAATGAGACAAGAAGGCTCTGTTCTTGTGCAGTGATATGCTCATTAGGGGAAGACGGACAGAAAATAAACAAGGTAACTTCAAGTAGTGGTAAGTGCTCAGAAGAAAACGAAAACAGGCTAATGGAGTAGGAACACTGTTTTAGAAGAGGGGGTGACATTTACGTTGAGAACTGAGTGATAAAAAATGCCAGGCACACAGAAACTTGGGAGAGAGTGGTTCGATGCTCACTCAAGGGGGGGAATGAATGAGGGTTATCTGAGGAATGTTAGCAAGGCTGATAAGGTGGTAGCTCATGACCCAGGAGAGCTCATCTTCATTAGAGTAGATGTGGAGGGAGTTGGACCCAAGTAAATGAAGGTGTTGAGGCTGTGGGCAAGTTAGATTGTAACCTAGTGTGAGAGGCCGGGGGGGCTGTGGGCATGGGAGCAGTGGGACCTGGTTCATAATGAGACAAGGCCACTCTGGGCTGGACCCTAGATAAGAAGGGGTAGGGGTGGGGCAACAATAAGAAGTGGGGGTTGCCTAGGGGTCACTGTGGGTGGCCACGGGGGAGGGTCCAGTACTGGACCAGGGTGATGGCAGCAGGGGAGAAGTGTCCGAGTCAGTGCCTGCTTAGAGCTGATTCAGCTGTCAGGCTTACTGATGAGGGTTTGAGATCCAAGAGGAGGAAGGAAGGGAATCAAGGTAGTTCCTAGATTTGGGTGGGCTCCAGCAGTTAGGGAAACCTTGGTTCCTTTTTAACCATGCCAGGGAAAATTGGGGGATGAGCAGGTTTTGTGGGAAAGCTTGGTTTCCATCACATTGCTTTTGCGCTGCCTCTCAGGCATCCAGCTGAGCCCGCCACCCAAGTGGGTGCATGGAATAGGTGGCTGGATCTCTGGGTCTGGAGCACAGGAGAGAGGCCGGGACGAGGCCAGGGCTGGAGAGTCGTGACCTGTAGATTGTGTTTATGGCCACAGGTCTGGAGGAGGCAACCTAGAGAAAAGGGGGCCACAGCAGAGGGGAGCTGGGGGGGCGAGCTGGAGCAGGACCAGGCCCAGGCACTGGCAAGTG